CCACATCCTTACGCCTTATCACACAGTTCCAATCACCTCCTATCACGGCTACCCCTGGCAATCCACGCAAGTAGTAAGTAAACCAGCACGTCCCTCACAAATTTATTCTTAACGTGTACGTCACCCTCTGCCGGGCCATACACACTTCTTCTGATGACCAGAGCTTTGGTAAGATGGGTAAGGAAGAAGGATGGGTAAGGATGGAAATATTGGAAAAGGGTGGGAGGGGGGAGAGAGGTAGGATATAAAAGGTAAGTGGCCCAACCACTTTGGTGTAATTTAAAAAGTGTATGTGAAATGATAAGATATTCTTTAAGAGGTATAATACTAACCCATCAGAGTCACATAGTTATAACAGATATATAAGTACATGACTCTGAATTGGTAGTAATTATACAAGTAGCAATTGCTTTTTTTTTTTTTTTTTTTTTTTTTTTTTTTTTTTTTTTGCGATTGCACAACGGATATTTATGCGACAATGAAGGCAATAATTTTCTGGCCAGTTTATGGAATTACGCGACAATGGCTTCTTACAGGTGGCGTCCAGCCATGGTAAATAGCATAATTTTTACATTAGATTGTTATATAAGATGTCTCCCTAATTGGGGGCGATGATTTTCTTAGTATACATAGAAGGGTTCTGGTGCTACCCAATCTTCTTCATCAGGGAGGTTGCTCAATATCATGGGTCGATGGTAATCATCTTTATGTATAAAAGGACGGACCCTCTGTGGGAGAGTCATTCTTTGAGTCCTGTGAGGAGGAGTATTGACCATACACACACACCAACGTCATCTGTACCTGACCCCATAATCCATCCACACGTATCACCCTCCCCTCCCCCCCTTCACAATGCCTAACAACCAACGGGCTAGTTTCCTTTACCAATATAGCCACACCGCCTTTCAATCTGACTGCATGTTCAACATACACCTTATATCCCTCCACCTTCAACTCATAACCATGTCTATAATTATGCTCCTGCAAGAACACAACGTCAACACCATGACGCTCCAAAAACTCCCTAAACCACTCACACTTTCTCTGCGACCTCAAACCATTGATGTTCAATGTCAAGCACTTAAAACCGACAAAGGTTTCCCTCTTGACACAACCTTTTTGTCACCTGATCGCCTCATTGCACTCTTATCCCTCCCCCCCTTTTTTTGTGCACTCTTACTCGATCCCTGTCCCTGAGTGCCTTTTGACCCCCTCTGCATGACATCCGCCCATGTTTTCTTCCCTGAACGTTGTGCGGGCGTAAGCACTTCATCTGAATCATAAAGCGCTGCTGCGCGCTTTCGCGTCGTACCGTCGACCTGCATCTCGTTATCAAGCTCATCACCACGATGAACCTCAACCTCCACCGTATTCACCGACAAGACAGCCTTGTCACACACCTTAGGACGAACTATCTTCGCCCCTCCATCCTCTATAGTAGTCTCAAGATCCAGGACCATGCCTTCAAAGTTTATTCTCTATAAGGATTACAATGCTGAGTTTACAGAAATTTGGTTATTGTGTGGTTTACATGTAGTAAAATAGTGATTACAGAGTGTACCACTAGAACGCTTAGCATGGCTAGGCATTTCGGGCAGACTTAGTTTTATTCTTAATTGTAAAATATTACAAATTATGAGGTAAGTTGGTATTATGGCTAAGTGACTAAATACTAGTTTGTGAGTTTAGCAATGTAAATGCTTTTGTTTTGGCACAGTACATAGTTTCAGTATTGGAGTATCACAGGATTCATTATTTTAAGATTGAGATTAATATTTCTGTTTATGGTCAAATGAGTCAGTGAGTGTAAGTGTGAACCACCAGGTGGTATTCGTGTAGTTAGTTGACAGGGTGTATCAGGGAGATAAGATGTTTTCTAATGGTAGTTTTGAAGGTGATGAATGTGTCTGCAGTTCTAGAGTTCTCAGGTAGGGTATTCCAGATTTTAGGGCCTTTGACATACATTGAATTTTTGTAAAGGTTTAGTCGGACACGGGGAATGTCGTAGAGATGTTTGTGTCTGGTGTTATGCCTGTGGGTTCTGTCACAACTATCAAGAAAGCGTTTTAGGTCAAGGTTGATATTAGAGTTTAAGGCCCTGTAAATGTAGATTGCACAGTAGTAAGTGTGGATGTACTGAACAGGGAGTAAGTTTAGGTCTATGAAGAGTGGGGGGGGGGTGTTGCCAGGGATGGGATTTAGTGATTATTCTTACTGCAGCTTTTTGTTGGGTTATTATTGGCTTTAGGTGTGTTGCTGCAGTTGATCCCCAAGCACAAATAGCATAGGTGAGGTATGGATAAATAAGTGAGTGGTATAGTGTGAGAAGGGTATTTTGCGGAACGTAGTATCGTATCTTGGAGAGGATCCCAACCGTTTTGGATACTTTTTTGGTTATATGCTGGATATGGGTGCTGAAATTCAGGTTGTTGTCAAGGTATAAGCCTAGGAATTTGCCCCCATTATTTCTGGTAATTAGAGTGTTGTCAATCTTAATGTTAATTTGTGCATCTCCTGCTCTGCTACCAAACATAATATAGTAGGTTTTGTCAGTGTTAAGCGTAAGTTTATTGGCTGTCATCCAAGTCGATATTTTGATAGCTCCTCATTCACAGTGGTGTTGAGGGTGGCAAGATTAGGGTGAGAGACAGCTCCTCATTCACAGTGGTGTTGAGGGTGGCAAGATTAGGGTGAGAGATGACATAAGTCGTGTCGTCAGCAAAGAGAATGGGTTTCAGGTGTTGGGATACGTTTGGAAGGTCATTGATGTATATGAGGAAGAGCAGGGGACCAAGGACACTTCCCTGCGGAACTCCAGTATCAAGTGGCCGTGTTGCTGATGCTGTGTCTTTAATGGTGACATACCGATACCTATAAGTAATGTAAGATTTGAAATAAGCAAGCGCATGGCCTCTTATACCGTAATGATCAAGTTTGTGGAGTAGGATGTCGTGGTCTACTGTGTCAAAAGCTTTTCTTAGGTCAATAAAAATTCCTAGTGGATATTCTTCCTGATAAGGCCCCGTGCCCAAAATATCCACAAGCGTCGTCCTTATCGATGCTTCCTCCTTGCTATCATTCACTTCCGAGATGATCTCCTCCAATGCCTGAACCACGTCCAAGGAAGGGGAGTCCCCCCCACTCGTAGCACCTGCCATCTCTGCCCTCTCAACCTCCTCACTCCATGACGCACTCTGCGGAGGCAGTGTCGAAAAAGGCTGTTCTTGCTCCACTCTCCTCTCCTCTACTTTTCTTCGTTGTTGCAGGTCGTTGTCTCCACGTCCTCTACCACATTGCGCTGCCAGGTGTTCATACGACCCGCACAAACGACAAGTGCTTCGTTGCCCTGCATATGTCACAAATACCTGAGTTCTGAAATCTTCCATCACCACATACGACGGTATAGGATGTCGTATCGTCATCTTTGCAAAGTACGTACCCTCAGGTATCCCCATATACGTACCAGCTGACCATCTTCCTGCAGTGACCGTGTGTACTGTCCCATATTTACTCGTGGCGAACCTTATGTCAGATGCATCCGCCTCGAATGGCACATTCCTGATCTTCACCCAAGTGAAGTAACTTGATACATCATGCATCCTCACCGTGACAGCATGATTCACAGGTATGGCCACTTCCTGAAACTTGTTCACCACTGCCTCATACATACTCGCCGAATTGAATTTAAGAAATATCCTCTTCGTGCCATTCAAGGCAAGTCCACAAATCTCTTCAGTAGCTACGCCGTAGGTGTCTCTAATTATTGCTGGTAGAAGTAACTCCATAGACGGCCCCGTGATAGCTCCACTGGTTAATTCCATACATACTGTATTAACCCGCCGGCGACAAGCTTGCGCCATGTGAAAATATTACTGCACCCAGTCAACACCAGGGGGTAGCAGCAGGACACGTCCTCTCTACTCAAGGGTTGAGAGACGAATATATGGCCATTATCACACCTAGCATGCCTAGGCATTTCGGGCAGACTAAGATTAAATCAAAACTCTATATTGCTACAGATTATGGAGCATGTTGGTATTAAGGCTAAGTAACTGTATTACAGATGGTAAATTTAGCAATGTGAATGGTTTTGTTTTGGTACAATACATAGTTTCTATTGAAGCTCCTATACTGGAGTATCACAGGCAAACTTATAACTAGTTTAAGATTCATTAGGGAATAGTTGTATTACGTATTTCCATGTTTATAGTCAATTAGGTGAGTGTAAGTGTGAATTGTACAAGGTATACAGACCATAGCTGACATCAATGAAATACTACTATATAGAAAGCCACTTGTTATGCTGAGCATTTCCGGTAAATTAGGTCAGTTTTGTCCCAGGATGCGACCCACACCAGTCCACTAACACTCAGGTACCCATTATACTGATGGGTGAACATGGACGGCAGGTGACTTATGGAAACATGTCCAGTCGTACCGGAGGAGATTCGAACTCTGGACCTCAGTGTGTGAGCTGAGTGCGCTAACTATCAAGCTCGTTTACGAAAACTAAACTGTAAGCCCTGTCATAATCTGTGTTTAGCTTCATACACAAGCATGCTACATTCATATTTCAGGCTATTTACAACAATTAATTAGGAAAGTCAATCATAATTAAAATGCCTGCAGGCGTAGTTTCCACAAGCTTGACAGCAACAAGTATGACAAACAGCTCAGTTTAATTGTAATACATCTCTGTATTCTAGTACCATCAGGTTGGTTTACAATAATAGCACTTTCCTGCTTTTACTGTCAGAGCCATCAGCATAGTCTGTGTGATTCTTTGTCCTAAAGTCATGGAAATAAGTCACTGACTTTTTTGGGGATTACCCTAGGTTACTTATGTGTACTGTGCCTAAATAAACTTACTTGTTGGGGTTGTTAGGACCATCAACAGTAACTTATGTGTACCTAAATAAACTATCTTCCAGAGCACTGAGTTTAGAAAGTAACTTATTACATGGGAAGCAGAGCTCAATATGTTTTAAGACTTGGTGGCCCTTAATAAACCTAAAACAAGTTTTATACTTTAGTGCCATATGGTGGAGTATATACGTTAAAAACACTAGAATTTTTCACAATTAATCATACAGTAAAGGGCGACGGCATTGAACACACTTTAATAATGCTTGGCTAATATGGCCATCCAATCCTTTGAAGAAATTATTTTGAGAGTTAATAACAAAAATACTTTTATTTTGGGACAAGCTGCTGGTCTCAGGTGACAACTAGAAGTAAAAGCACATATGAGTCATTTGGATGTTAGGAAATACTCTTTAGTCTTAGTTCACCCATCAGTAAAATGGGTACCTGGGTGTTAGTGGACTGGTGTGGGTCGCATCCTGGGACAAGGACCTAATTTGCCCGAAATACTTTGCATAACAAGCAGATTTCTATATAGTAGTATGTCATTGATGTCAGCTATGGTCTGTATACCTTGTACATGTAGTAAATAAATATATTATTATAGCTTTCAGAATAGGTATGATTGGCTCGCTCAGCCAGGAGAGAGTGAATGATGAACACAGTAAACACCTCGAGGGAGGTCCCTTGATGATGGTGAGGAGCTCTTGATCTAGGGAATTGGATGTGTACTCCAATTCCCTGAATTAAGCTTAAATGCTTTCCATCCCCCAACTCCCACAAGTGCTGTATAATCCCTATGGGTCTAGCCCTCCCCTGTAATAATAAAGAAGACAGTAAAGCACAAAACAATCTGAAAAGGGTAAATAATTTTATGTTCAGTGTAATGGGGAACCCATCACTTCAATTTCCTCAGTGAAATATCTGGGACTCCCATTTGACCCAGGCATGTCAGAAGAATTGCTAGGGAACAGTGTTGTAAAGAAAGCAAATGCCAGAATAAAGTTTCTCAACAGACAAGCAGAGTGTCTACCTACTGAGGCTTACAGGACCCTATATCTAGCTCTTATACAGTGCCATGGTACTCTGCCTTAATAAAAAGAAATTGAAAGACTACAAATTACCCAGAACAAAATGGTAAGATTCATCCTGGACCTGGGTTCAAGGGAGCATGTAGGCCGAGATGAATTACAGCAATTAAGAGATAAGATAAGATTTCGTTCGGATTTTTAACCCCGGAGGGTTAGCCACCCAGGATAACCCAAGAAAGTCAGTGCATCATCGACTGTCTAACTTATTTCCATTGGGGTCCTTAATCTTGTCCCCCAGGATGCGACCCACACCAGTCGACTAACACCCAGGTACCTATTTGCTGCTAGGTGAACAGGACAATAGGTGTAAGGAAACGTGTCGAAATGTTTCCACCCGCCGGGAATCGAACCCGGGCCCTCCGTGTGTGAAGCGGGAGCTTTAGCCACCAGGCCACCGGATATGCTAAATGTTGAAGACAGAGTAAAACAACTGAAATTAAATCATGTTTATAAAACTGCTTACAAACAATGCTTAGAATATCTTGCTGCCAAGTTTGTAAAGGCTGGGAACCAAAGCAATTACAGTACTAGGGGAAGGGAGCACAGCTTTGTAGTGCCCACAGTCAGTGGCCAGGCTTCAAACATTTTATTGTACAGCAATAAAAAATTTTAATTTTAATTTTAGGAACCAACCAGTGATGCACTTGGTGAAGTGAATGCAATTCTGTCGTTTGTACAGTAGGTAGTTAAGCCTTGGACACCTTTTATTATACAGCAATAAAAGAGTGAAATAGATTTCCCAAACATGTCAAAGTCAGTGCTAGCATGAGTCAGTTGTTTTTTCCAGATAGTGTTACAGGTATATTTAATAGAGACAGCTACTGCTTACATAGCAGAACTATATGCATTTATCGCTGCCGTTATAGGCATTTCAACCTTATCTGCTTCCTCATTCATTGTTGTTTCAGATTTCCCATGTGTTTCAGGTGATCCAGAGTTTTGATTCCATGTCTCATTGTATTTCACATTAAGCACTGATTGTCACATCTCCAGCAGACACAAAGAGGCTGTCTTTTGCTGGGTCTTGGACATTCTGAAGTTCTGGGCAATGAATTCACAGACTCGGTTACTTGTTTCATGGTGCAAGATCAATCAATCTCTTCCCAGGGGAATTTTACTACGTAACTTATTTACCAGTACCCTGTCAGTGATGGTGCCCTTAGTATAATCAACAAGCTTTTTCATCGCATCACAGTTATGTTCTTAGCTGTGTCCCTTCATCACGGTTGGGTATAGGAAACCCTTCTCTTACAAGTACGTACTAGACTCATGTGGACACCACTCTTTTTCTTTTTTTTTTATTCTTTCTTTTCTGTCCTCTTTATTTCATTCTTTATGCAGCACTAAATGATCCATATGGGTTTAGTGTTTTTCATGGATATATGTACTAATAATTCTTCCATTTTAATTCTTTTAATAAAATCAGTACAGTGCAGTACAAAATATTAGTATGATACAGTACATACTGTACTCTCTGTAATAATAAATTAGTGTCAAGATGACTCAAGAAATCGTAATGACACGATTGCAAACAAACCATACCCCCGGCCGGGATTGAACCCGCGGTCATAGAGTCTCAAAACTCCAGCCCGTCGCGTTAGCCACTAGACCAGCTAGCCACAAAAAGATTCATCCAACTAGGTTGGATGAATCTTTTTGTGGCTAGCTGGTCTAGTGGCTAACGCGACGGGCTGGAGTTTTGAGACTCAGTGACCGCGGGTTCAATCCCGGCCGGGGGTATGGTTTAGTGTCAAGATGTAAGAACTAGATCTCTAGCAGTAAGATATCTAGTTAAGAAAATGCATTATCATAATTATTAATACATGCCTGTAATTAATCTAGGTGGATAGGTACACAGGTATACACATAAGTACATACAATTGTTTTAGTGTAAATTTCCTATGATAACCCAAAAATGTCAGACAAAGTGACTTGTTTCCATTGGGGTCCTTGACCTTCATTGTTATTATTAGCACTAAATACAGTAGACTGTCATTTAACACGAGTTTATTTGGCACAATTTGGTTATAGCATGATTGAAAAATTGCAGCACAGTTTTATAAAACACTTCGTAAAATTAACTTTACGTTGTTCCGTTTGAGGGTGCAGAAAAAATTTCCCCAGCTCAAGCTGCTGCCTTGTTGTGGGTCAGCGGGGGAGACCTCCCGCCATCCCATGCCACCCCTGACACTCCAACCACCACCACCCCAGCCATCGTAAATGCGTGTTCAGTTCCACTTCTCTCCTACAAGCTAGCTGTGTTTGTGAATTGTGTTTTGATCTTTAATTACCATATCTTGTATCTGCCAAGCAATCATGACACCCAGTAGGCATACCAGTGTTGCTGAAAGTGGCAAGAAAAGGTATAAGCGTTTAAGTCTTAGAATTAATTAAGAAAATAGAGATATTAGACAAGAGATAGCCTGTGGCCGTAATTAAGCTTCACTTTGTGCACATAAGATTGAGGTAAATATGAGTTTGTGTGATGACTGACTTGACTTACTAACTGACTGACTTACTGACTGACTTACTGATTGACTTACTGACTGACTGACTTACTGATTGACTTACTGACATAATGATTGACTTACTGATTGACTTACTGACTGACTTACTGACTGACTTACTGACTGACTTACTGACTGACTTACTAACTGACTTACTAACTTTGGCTGACTTATTGACTTGACTGACTGACTTACTGACTTATTGACTTGACTGACTGACTTACTGAATTGACATAATATATCACGACAGTGAGTTACAATTACATATTAACTTATTTTTGTAAGATCTGTTGGTTTAAAGAAAAGTTGTTTGGCTTTTTGGGGGCTAACAGGAATGTAACCCTATTTTTCCCATAAGTTCTTCAGTTCATCTGAAAAGTTTTTTTTACCTAACACTGTGTTTTCAGGAACGTAACTACCTTGAACATAGATCTGTTTGGACAGTTTAAGGGTTAAATGACGTTCTACTGTATGTTCTCATGGCTTCAGTTAATTGATGATAAGAAATTGAATCTCATTTTTCAATGACTGACTTACAAATTTTTTCAAGGATTTCATAATTTGAATTTTTACAAGTCTTACTAATGACACATTCAGTTTCCCTTCCTTCATGATGTATTTTTTGAAATGTATTCATTGGCTAACAGCTGGTGAACCATAGTTCAGTATTTCTTTTATATTACTATACACTTATTTTAGTTAAGCAAAATAATTAACAAATATTGTTTAAAGTAATGCAGGTTTGATGACTACTGGTGTATGAGTTGTAATAAAGATGGATGGTCAAGAAATACAGACCTTGTTTGCCCAATATAACAAGAAGTACTTCTGGGGCAAACTTAATAAAGTTAATCTCAGCTGGAGTCCTTATATGACATTGTGAGTTGTAAGAATTAGTAAAGCTTAATTTCTTTGTAATTTTTTAATAAACATAAAATGCTCACTTTTAATGTGATTTTATAATTTTTGACCTTGTTAGTTTCTTGCCTAGTAAAGGCCAGTAGGCCTGCTGCAGTGTTTCTCTATTCTTATGTGAAGTAAAATATCTCTCCCTTAATTGGTTTTTAGCTTAGGTTTGGAGAAACAAATTTTACATGCATACATTCAAACCCAGTTCATGAATGTAATTTTTCAAGACAAGTGATGCTATATATAGGTTTCAATAGCTCTGTCTGAAACCATTGCTTATTTTTTTTTTTTTTTTTTGACAGCACATTCAAGTTTTATTAAGCAACACAAATTGGCAGGTGCAGTTACTGTTTTCTCCCCATGATGATTTTCTTCACTGAGTTTACTCACTCTACTGGTTGTTTAAGGCCTGCATTATTTTATTAAAATATACAGTGGAACCTCAGTTTTTGTATGCTGTAGTTTGTATGTAAAACTATAGTTATTCTCTATAAAATGTATTTTTTGTTAATATTTCCCATAAGAAATAATGTAAATCCAATTAATCCGTTCCAGACACCCAAAAATATTTACAAAAAAATACATTTTATAGAGAATAACTATAGTTTTACATACAAACTACAGCATACGAAAACCGAGGTTCCACTGCACAGCTATTTTAACTATGTAATGTGCATAAATTTTTCATCTTTTATTCATGTGTCTACTTTTCTTATTAGCTTTGCTTCCTCATCTTTTTTTTTTCCTTTCACCTTCTTCACCTCTTCTTATCCTGCACCTTTTCTCCTTGTTTTCTTTCCTTGCACCCTTTTTATATGGTGCACTATCCCACAATATATAAAACACCCATGTTATCTAAATTGATTTTTTAATGAGTAATTATGGTAAATTCATTACTTATACAAAAGCTTAACTAACATTTAGAATTCATGATTTTTCTGTTTCTCATTATTACATAAAATTTATTTTTTTGCAATTTCCCAGTTGATTACTTGTAGACAGTTACACGGGTTGCTGGCACTACATTCTTCCCCAAAGCCCAGTCTTAAACCAGGTCTCCTGATTGACAGCCTCATAAATCACACTGTTGTTGCTCACTGCATGCAGTCTAATGTAGGTACCACAGCCAGGGTGATCAAGCAGTAACTTAAAGAATCTATTCTTTTTGAAAGTAGCTTGGGGTCTGTTAGTAATCTCCCTTATGCTGTATATGAAGGAAGGATGTTGAAGAGTCTTGGGTCCTTTACAATTATTGAATTATTTCTAAGTGTAATCCCATTTTCTTGTTTGGGTATTTTATACCATTAGCTGAGCTCTTGCTTTCATTTGGAGTGGTTTCAGTGTGTAGCTTTTGAATTGATCCATCCAGAATTTTCAAGGTGTAAATTACAATGTAGCTTTCTCATGTATGTTCTAGGGATTATAATTCAAGGGACTATGGATGTTCCTGTTAATTTAGGCACTTTACTAAATTTACATGGACAGTGAAAGCTCTCTGTATTTTCATCAGATTTGCAATATCACCTGTTTTAAACAGTATTCCAGACCAATGGGGGGGGGGGGGGGAAGCAGACCTTTTTTCAAAGTCAATTAACCCAGAGGATTTTTGCCCCGTATTTTGAAAATCCATTAAATTGAGAGTTTATGGTGTTATCCTCCTTGGAGATTTTAGTCTTTCATATGTTAAAAGAAAAATGGTAGAAATAGCATTGTACCAGGCATAGTACCCAGAAGCATTTGATGAATGCTATCATAGAGTGATAGTTCATAAAATAAGATCAATAGGTATAACAGAAAAAAGTAGGAAAATGAATATTCAGTTTTGTAACAGAAATTCATATCAGATAAAATAAGTTTCTCAAAGCATGTAGTACTGTACATAGTTGAGTAATGATTTTCTACTTGTTGCAGATGTGCAGGACAAACAACGTACCGAGTGAGAGGCCAATCATTCTCCTCGTGTAGTATTCGCCTCAGTCAGCCAATTTTATCCCAAAGACCTCACAGTGACACTGTTGACACACTTCTGGTTAGTATTGACCCCATATCTGTGGCATACCCAGAAATTAAAATTCATGTGTGGGCATGGGGCAAGATTTTGAAAATAATTTTTTTTTCATATTGATTGAAAGAGTGCATTTTTATGAATCAATTAAGACTACAGTGAATGGAATCTGATAAAAATTTACGATTTTACTGTGTGCTGAAGTTGGCAAAATAAATTATCATGTACCTTTGACCTTTGAAGAGGTTCAAGAGTTTAGCTACTCTCGGAGCCTGGCCATTGGCCAGGCTCGTCTGGTGCTTGCCTGGTCAACCAGACTGTTGCTGCTGGAGGCCTGCTGCCCCACATATTTATCACAGCCGTGTTGATCTGGCACATGGTGAAGATACTTGTCCAGTTTCCTCTTTAAGGCTTCTACACTTGTTCCAACCATGTTTCTGATATCTTCTGGTAAGATGTTGAATAATCTGGGACCACGAATGTTGATATAGTGTTCCCTTACTGTGCCCACCGCACCCCTGCTCCTCGCTGGGTTTATTTTACACTTTCTCCCATATCTCTCCAATATATTGTTATGGCAGTATGCAGATTTGGGACCAGGCCCTTGAATACTTTCCAGGTATGTATTATCAAGTATCTCTCTCCCTTTTGCTCCAGTGAGTACATGTTCAAGGCTTGAAGGTGTTCCCAGTAATTTGGGTGCTTTACTGGTTCAGTGTGAGCCGTAAACGATTTCTGTATTTGTTCCAGCTCTGATATTTCTCCTGCTCTGAACGGGGACGTCAGCATTGAGCAATATTCTAAATGAGGGAGCACTAGCGATTTGAAGAGTGTCACCATCAGCATTATTTCTCTTGTTTTGAAAGTTCTCAATGCCCACCCCGTCATCTTCTTGGCTGTCATGATTTTTGTCTTATGTTCCTTAAAAGAAAGGTCAGCTGACATAATTATTCCCAGGTCTTTTACATGTTCCTTTCGATCTGTTTGGTAACTCTCTTGAGTTTTGTATATAGTGTTCCTTTTGAGTTCTTCATTCTTTCCATACTGAAGCAGCTTGAACTTATCAGCATTGAACATCATGTTGTTCTTCACTGTTTATAACAGCGGTGTAAATGCACAAGTGCTATTTATATTTTAATTTTTTTTTTTTTTTCACTTTTTATTATGTACTTATAATGTTTACCAGTATGTACAGCTCATTCATTTTTAACCCTTTGACTGTCGCGGCCGTATATACATACGTCTTACGAGGTACCGTGTTTGACGTATATATACTCATAAATTCTAGCGGCTTCAACTCAAGCAGGAGAAAGCTGGTAGGCCCACATGTGAGAGAATGAGTCTGTGTGGTCAGTGTGCACCATATAAAATAAATCCTGGAGCACGCAGTGCATAATGAGAAAAAAAAAACTCCGACCGTTTTTTTTAATTAAAATGCCGACTTTGTGGTCTATTTTCGTATAGTATTTATGGTTGTATTCTCTTTTTCTTGGTCTCTTTTGATAGAATGGAAAACATATTATAGAAATAGAGGTGATTTTGATTGATTTTACTATAAAAAGAACCTAGAAATGGAGCTCAAAGTAGGGGAAATGTTTGATTTTTGCCAATGTTCAAAAGTAAACAAATGATACCATTGTCCAATAAATGTCCAACTAGCCATTCTAATATGCAGTCATGAATGGATTGATGTTATTTATACAATTATTACAGTATTGCAGTAGTCTGCATAATAGTAAGTCTTCTATTTTTTGTTTGAATAAAAATTCAAAATGGAAAGCAAGAGTAATATCAGAGGGGCCTGGAGACATGACTGATGAACAAAGAAAATGTTATTTTAGAGCCAGGAATGTCTGCATTGTTCATTCTGGACCTTATTTTGAAATTGTCATATTTTTTAGTTTTCGTGAAATTGGCCAAATTGCAAATTTGTGACCACATTATTAGGTAGTTGAAATCGGTAAATGGGCAGTTTCTTGTACTCAACCGATAGAAAAAATGGAGTTCTAAAGAAATAGCTATGAGTTTGGGCGACTGGAACAAGGGAATTAGCCGAAAATAGGGCTAAAAGTGGGCGAAATCGCCGATTTGTAAACAGCGCTGAGGTCGCTAACTTCGCGAGAGCATAATTCTGTCAGTTTTCCATCAAATTTCGTTTTTTTGGTGTCATTACAATCGGAAAAAGATTCTCTATCATTTCATAAGAAAAAATTATTTTTTTTTTTTTTAAATTTTGCGACACCAGGAGACACCTCAGGATTGGGGGTTGCGACAGTCAAAGGGTTAATGATATTAGATGTGTTTCAAGGTGTTTTGGTACTTCAAACAAGGGACAAGGCGTAGTCCTATATTACCCCACAGAATTTTCTATATAAATTAGAGCAAATAATAAATAATTTTTTTTGTTTACTGCCCTGTTCCTCTAATACAAAGAATTCCTATAGTAGTGTGCATATTAATTGGGACAGTGATGAAATAAAACATTTATTTGGAAAAATTAATGTTTATTTGAAAAATACACAGTAATGATTTGACAGATAATTGATTTAATAAGCAATATGACTACCTTTTGCTTTTATAAGCATTACTATGTGCTTTGGAATAGACCTGTCAATGTTGAACACATTTTGGCAAGTTCTTCATTGTGGTACCAGGTCCTAATAACAGGAGTTATTTTCTCCACAGTTGAACAGTCCTGTTTCGTAATCCTGCGTTTGGTTATTGCCCATTGATTCTCAGTAGGGTTGAGGTAAGGAGAGGTTCCAGGCAAATTTAGAATGCTTATCCCACTCTCTTCAAAGAATGTCAGCATTTTTCTGAAAGTGTGGCACAGAGTAAGATCCTGCTGGAAAATGCCTTTTCCATCAGGAAAGTCTCTATCCACAATGGAAAGCAAATGAGAATTGGCTTCTCTTTGTCATTGTTCATCATTCCCTCAACAATAACAAGCCATCCAGGGCCTTTAGCAGTAAAACTACCTCAAAACATCTTCTTAGGTGGGTGTTTTGGCACTTGTTCAATGTGTTCATTCCAAAGAGGTTCACCTTTGCTCCATCTCACTACCACTGATCTGTACCCATAAACTTGAAAATGCACCTCATCTGAAAATTGAACTTTTTTCCATTCATATGTTGTCCATCCCTTAAAATCAGGTGCTCACCGCAGCCCTTTTTTTTCATAGTAGCAGTCAATAATTGTTTCTTTACCGGCTTTCTGGCAGTTCTGCCAACTTCAAGAAGCCTTCATTGAACAGTTGAAGAATCAACATTTATACCAGCTGAAGTCAAATTTCTCTGTAGATCTTTGTTGGTCTTGGGATCCTTCACACTATTTCTTATGATAACCTTGCATTTTCTTCCACATCTTCCTCTATCCAGTGCTCCACAATCACCAGTGTTGTCAGCCCTCTTCAGTCTCCAACCAATTATCAGCAATCTCTCTGATCAGTTATGGAAGGAGAAGAGGGAACATAAATACATAAATTGCATAAATTCAATGAGTATGCAGTTTAAAATAAGGGTTGGATGCAATGGGCTAGTAACCCCTTCTCCTGTAGACATTTACTAAAAAAGAGAAGAAGAAAAACTTTATAAAACTGGATGCTTAAATGTGCGTGGATGTAGTGCGGATGACAAGAAACAGATGATTGCTGATGTTATGAATGAAAAGAAGTTGGATGTCCTGGCCCTAAGCGAAACAAAGCTGAAGGGGGTAGGAGAGTTTCAGTGGGGGGAAATAAATGGGATTAAATCTGGAGTATCTGAGAGAGTTAGAGCAAAGGAAGGGGTAGCAGTAATGTTAAATGATCAGTTATGGAAGGAGAAAAGAGAATATGAATGTGTAAATTCAGAATTATGTGGATTAAAGTAAAGGTTGGATGCGAGAAGTGGGTCATAATAAGCGTGTATGCACCTGGAGAAGAGAGGAATGCAGAGGAGAGAGAGGGGATTTTGGAGATGTAAGTGAAAGTAGGGGCTTTGAAACCAAGTGAGGGGAGTAATTGTGGTAGGGAAACACTGAATGCTAAAGTAAGAAACTTTAGAGAGGGTGTGGAGGTAATTTGGGGTGGCCAGGTGTAAATGATAATGGGAGCCCGTTTGATTGAACTTTTGTATAAAAAGGGGGTTAGTTATAGGTAATACATATTTTAAGAAAAGAGGATAAATAAGTTTACAAGATATGATGTAGGCAAATGCAGAAGTTTGTTGGATTATGTATTGGAAAGAAAAAGACTGTTGAGTAGACTTAGGATTTACATGTTATAGAGGGGCCACAGATATATCAGATCACTTTCTAGTGTGCTACATGGAGTAAAAGGTAGATGGGATACAAGGAGAATAGAGCATCAGGGAAGAGAGAGGTGAAGGTTTATAAACTAAAGAGGGGGCAGTTAGGGTAAGATATAACAGTATTGGAGGTAGAGGCTAATGAGAGCATAGGCAATGGGGTCGAAGAGGTATGGGGTAGGTTTAAAAATGTAGTGTTTGAGTGTTCAGCAGAAGTTTGTGGTTACAGGAAAGTGGGTGCAGGAGGGAAGAGGAGCGATTGGTGGAATGATGATGTAAAGAGAGTAGTAAGGGAGAAAAAGTTAGCATATGAAAGTTTTTACAAAGTAGAAGTGATGCAAGGAGGGAAGAGAAATATGGAGAAAAAGAGAGAGGTTAAGAGAGTGGTGAAGCAATGTAAAAAGAGAGCAAATGAGAGAGTGGGTGAGATGTTATTAACAAATTTTGTTGAAAATAAGAAAAAGTTTTGGAGTGAGATTAACAGTTAAGAAAGCCTAGAGAACAAATGGATTTGTCAGTTAAAAATAGGAGAGGAGAGTTATTAAATGGAGAGTTAGAGGTATTGGGAAGATGGAGGGAATATTTTGAGGAATTGTTAAATGTTGATGAAGATAGGGAAGCTGTGATTTCGTGTATAGGGCAAGGAGGAGAATAAATCTTGTAGGAGTGAGGAAGAGCCAGTTGTGAGTGTGGGGGAAGTTCGTGAGGCAGTAGGTAAAATGAAAGGGGTAAGGCAGCTGGGATTGATGGGATAAAGATAGAAATGTTAAAAGCAGGTGGGGATATAGTTTTGGAGTGGTTGGTGCAATTATTTAGTAAATGTATGGAAGAGGGTAAGGTACCTAGGGATTGGCAGAGAGCATGCATAGTTCCTTTGTATAAGGCAAAGGGGATAAAGAGAGTGCAAAAATTATAGGGGGATAAGTCTGTTGAGTATACCTGGTAAAGTGTATGGTAGAGTTATAATTGAAAGAATTAAGAGTAAGACGGAAAATAGGATAGCAGATGAACAAGGAGGCTTTAGGAAAGGTAGGGGGTGTGTGGACCAGGTGTTTACAGTGAAACATATAAGTGAACAGTATTTGATAAGGCTAAAGAGGTCTTTGTGGCATTTATGGATTTGGAAAAGGCGTATGACAGGGTGGATAGGGGGCAATGTGGCAGATGTTGCAAGTGTATGGTGTAGGAGGTAGGTTACTGAAAGCAGTGAAGAGTTTTTACGAGGATAGTGAGGCTCAAGTTAGAGTATGTAGGAAAGAGGGAAATTTTTTTCCCAGTAAAAGTAGGCCTTAGACAAGGATGTGTGATGTCACCGTGGTTGTTTAATATATTTATAGATGGGGTTGTAAGAGAAGTAAATGCGAGGGTCTTGGCAAGAGGCGTGGAGTTAAAAGATAAAGAATCACACACAAAGTGGGAGTTGTCACAGCTGCTCTTTGCTGATGACACTGTGCTCTTGGGAGATTCTGAAGAGAAGTTGCAGAGATTGGTGGATGAATTTGGTAGGGTGTGCAACAGAAGAAAATTAAAGGTGAATACAGGAAAGAGTAAGGTTATGAGGATAACAAAAAGATTAGGTGATGAAAGATTGAATATCAGATTGGAGGGAGAGAGTATGGAGGAGGTGAACGTATTCAGATATTTGGGAGTGGACGTGTCAGCAGATGGGTCTATGAAAGATGAGGTGAATCATAGAATTGATGAGGGAAAAAGAGTGAGTGGTGCACTTAGGAGTCTGTGGAGACAAAGAACTTTGTCCTTGGAGGCAAAGAGGGGAATGTATGAGAGTATAGTTTTACCAACGCTCTTATATGGGTGTGAAGCATGGGTGTATGAATGTTGCAGCAAGGAGAAGGCTGGAGGCAGTGGAGATGTCATGTCTGAGGGCAATGTGTGGTGTGAATATAATGCAGAGAATTCGTAGTTTGGAAGTTAGGAGGAGGTGCGGGATTACCAAAACTGTTGTCCACAGGGCTGAGGAAGGGTTGTTGAGGTGGTTCGGACATGTAGAGAGAATGGAGCGAAACAGAATGACTTCAAGAGTGTATCAGTCTGTAGTGGAAGGAAGGCGGGGTAGGGTCGGCCTAGGAAAGGTTGGAGGGAGGGGGTAAAGGAGGTTTTGTGTGCGAGGGGGCTTGGACTTCCAGCAGGCATGCGTGAGCGTGTTTGATAGGAGTGAATGGAGACAAATGGTTTTTAATACTTGACGTGCTGTTGGAGTGTGAGCAAAGTAACATTTATGAAGGGATTCAGGGAAACCGGCAGGCCGGACTTGAGTCCTGGAGATGGGAAGTACAGTGCCTGCACTCTGAAGGAGGGGTGTTAATGTTGCAGTTTAAAAACTGTAGTGTAAAGCACCCTTCTGGCAAGACAGTGATGGAGTGAATGATGGTGAAAGTTTTTCTTTTTCGGGCCACCCTGCCTTGGTGGGAATCGGCCAGTGTGATAATAAAAAAAATAAAATAAAATGCAAAAGCGTATTATAATAAGTGTTTATGCACCTGGAGAAGAGAGGAACAGATTTTGGGAGATGTTAAGCAAGTGTTTGGGAAGTTTTGAACCAATTGAGGGAGTAATTGTTGTGGGAGACATGAATGCTAAAGTGGGTGAAATGGTTATAGAGGGTGTGGTAGGTAAGTTTTGAGTACCAGGTGTAAATGATAATGGGGGGCCCTTTGATTGAACTTTGTATAGAGAGGGGTTTGGTAATAGAGAATACACATTTTAAGAAAAAAATGATTAATAAGTATACAAGGTATGATATAGGGCATAATGACAGTAGATTGTTAGACTGTATTTGTAGATAAAAGACTGATGGGTAGACTTCAGGTTGTGCATGCTTATAGAGGGTACTCAGATATATCAGATAATTTTTTAGTTGTAGCTACAGTGAGAGTAAAAGGTAGATGGGAAACAAGGAGAATGGCATCAGCAAGTAAGAGAGAGGTGAAGGGTTATAAACTAAAGGAGGCATGTAAGATATAAACAACTATTGGAAGAAAGATGGGCTAGTGAGAGTATAGACAATGAAGTTGAAGGGATATAGGATAGATTTGAGAATGAAGTGATAAATAGTTCAGCAGAAGTGTGTGGTTACAGGAAAGTTGAGCAATTGATGGAATGATGAGGTAAAGAGAGTAGTAAGAGAAAAAGTTAGCATATATTAGGTTTTTACAAATACTAAATTTTACCAGTGTTTTGACAGAAAAAAAAATAATTTTTATTATTAATTTTTCAGTGTTCATTTTTTGAGGTTTTTATCATTTCAAGGTAAATGGACAGTATTTTTCCTCTGTTAATAAAGTTATTCATTTACATTTTACAGCTGTTGTATAGTGACTGTAGTGCTTGTTTTTAGTTTAGCTGTGTTTCAGCATGAAATGATCCATGCTTACCTGCATGTGACCCAGGGATGCAGGTATCGGGACAGCCATGGACCAGAATTCTGGGAACATATGACAAGGATTAATGACTTGGAGGGATCAAATATAACTGTAAGTGATTTAAAAACCAACATATTCATTAGGCAATATTAACTCTCTATAGAGTATACATCTCATTATTTAAATTAACATAGAATAACAGAAAACTTAAATTAACAAAATTGTGATGCTCAGTTACGCTGTATTCCACATATAAGCAGGATGGTGTTTAATGCTTTCAGTGTCACAACCCCTGAAATAAAAGTACAGTGGAACCTCAACCTGCGAGTGTCCCAACATATGCTGACCAGGCATCTTAAGTCAGTCGTGCCAAATTTGGAGGCAGGAAAAATAAAATGTTGATCTACGTTTGGAGCGCTAGCGATAACAATGTAAATCTACGTTTGGACAGTTAAGGGGTTAAAGTGCAGACATTGTACTTCCCATCTCCAGGACTCAAGCCTGGATAATTGGAAAAAAATAATGTTATCAGAGAATCCTGCATCCAGGCCAACATGTCTCCTTCATTGATATACAGCCTCTCCTCACTTTCTGGAGTTCCTTTCCTAAGACCACATCATTAAATGAATTTGTTGCTAATCAAGGAGCCACCCCTTACTGATACTTCAAAAATGCCACCACCCAAAATTAAAACATTCAGTTTTATGTTTGCTGTGAAAATCCTTTCAATCCATACATTATTAACGGTAATACAACATGAAATAGGTGACTTACTTTCAAGATATTCCAGGAAATGCATGTGTAGCTGATTACAGTGGAACCTTGGTACTTGAACAGCTCCATACTCGAACAAAGCTTAGCACTCAACCAAACAAACACGACCTGCCAGAACTTCGCTGTAAACTATTTCGTGTAATTTTCACATTTTTTTTTATGTTATTTGTATAAATAAGTCACCATGGGGGCCTACGAAGATTAGTGATAACAGCCAACCAAAAAGAAAATTGGTTGGGAAGAATTTGTTCGATACTCGAATGGATCGACACTTGAGCAGCCTTCTGGAATGAATTAAGTTCAAGTACTGAGGTTCCACTGTACAGTGGACCCCCGGTTAACGATTTTAATCCGTGCAAGAGGGCTCATCGTTATGCGAAATAATCGTTATGCGAATGAATTTTCCCCATAAGAAATAATGGAAATAAAATTAATCCGTGCAAGACGCCCAAAAGTATGAAAAAAATTTTTTTTTACCACATGAAATGTTAATTTTAATACACACAAACTGAAAAAGGCATGCACAATTACATGACACTTACTTTTATTGAAGATCTGGTGATGATTGATGGGATGGGAGGAGGGGAGAGCATTATCTTCTTACTGTTTAGAAGGGGAATCCCCTTCCATTAGGACTTGAGGTAGCAAGTCCTTTTCTGGGGTTACTTCCCTTCTTCTTTAATGCCACTAGGACCAGCTTGAGAGTCACTGGACCTCTGTCGCACAACAAATCTGTCCATAGAGCTCTGTACCTCCGTTCCTTCATGACTTTCCTAAAATGGGCCATAACATTGTCATTGAAATAGTCACCAGCACGGCTTGCAACAGCTGTGTCAGGGTGATTTTCATCTATAAAGGTTTGCAGTTCAACCCACTGTGCACACATTTCCTTAATCTTTGAAGTAGGCACAATGGATTCCACAACTGGCATAGGCTTCTCAGGGTTAGCCCCAAACCCTTAAAAATTTCTTTCTTAATTTCCATACTAATTCTCACCCTTTTTACCACAGGGTTGGCACTAGAAGCTTTCTTGGGGCCCATGGTCACTTATTTTCCAGAAACAGCACCGAAAACACTGTAATAATACGAAATATTCCGAGTGTATGCTTGGATGTTACCGCGGAGGCTGGCTGGTAAACAATGGGACGGCCGGCACATGTGAGGGCACATTGGACGCGTCTCGGACGAAAATCGGTAAGCGGGTTTTTAATCGGTATGCGCGGCAAAAATTTTGCGATAAAAGTAATCGTTATGCGGAAAAATCGCTATGTGATGCCATCGTTATGCGGGGGTCCACTGTACTTGGGAAAATTTTTTTTTTTAGAAAATCTTACTTTTTTCAGTCTTAGTTGAGGATAAGAGTGATCTTCTAAAGTTACTCTTCAGGCACACAACGTTTTCTGTAATGGTCATGGTCACTTTTTTTTTTTTTATCCCTCCCCCGCCGCCCACCCTTCAATACCTCTCCATATAATGTCAGTTTTTATTAATTTGGGCATCTTTATCATGCTTCTACATTATTCATGTTATACTAATATTATTATGGAATAAATATGATTGATAGATAACCTTTATTGATAGTAATAGTATAATTATACAATATTTTATAGTGGGGTGAGACCTCCATGCATCATGGTGAACCGTGAGTTAATGAGAGATTGCTCATGCCTTCTCCCTCTCGAATAGCTCTGCACACCCTCCAGTACCTCTACATATAATTTCAGTTTTTATTAATTTGGGCATCTTTATCATGCTTCTACGTTATTTATGTTATACTTAATACCTTTGTTGATAGTACTTAGCAAATCAAAACTGTAATTACACATTGTAAGCTATGCAAAGAAATAAAATCCTTATTCCTTATCTTAGTAGCAGTATAATTATACGTACTATATTTTATCGTGGAGTGAGGCACACCTCCATGCATCATGGTGAATCCTTAGGTACTGAGACACTGCTTGCTTCTCCCTCTGTTGTAGCTTCACCCAATTTGTAACAATGTAAAATAATGAATTAAATATATATATTAGAAAGAAAAAAAGAAAAAGAAATAAAAAAGAAACTCCCACTTGAAAACTTTTTTTTAATTTGCATAACTCTACATATTACAGAAAACAATAAAAAAGTAAAATACACATACAGTACACTCATTACTTACCTTAAAATACTTGTAGTCTTAATATAGGGTGAGAGGTGAGTAGCATTTATTGTAGTGATACAATAAATGGTAATGACACCAAAAGTATGAAATTTTATGGAAAACTTACAGAATTACGCTCACAAGAAGTTAGCGATCTTGGCGATATATATGCATCGGCAATTTTGCCCACTTTGAGCCCTATTTTCGGTCAGTTCCATTGTTCCAGTTGACCAAACTCATAGCTATTTCTTTAGAACTCCATTTGTTCAACTACCCAATAAAGTGGTCAGAAATTGGCAATTTGGCCACTTTCACTCGCATTAAAAAGATGACAATTTCAAAATAGTGTCCAGAATGAACAATGCAGACATTCCTGGCACTAAAATAACATTTTCTCTGTTCATTAGTCATGTCTCCAGGCCCCTCATATTACTCTTGCTTTCTACTTTGAATTTTTATTCACGCAGAAAAATAGAAGATTTACTGTTATGCAGACTACTACATTATTGTAATTGTATAAATAGTGTGAACCCATTCGTGACTGCATATTAGAATGGCTAGTTGGACACTTATTGGATGGTGACATCATTTGTTTACTCTTGAACATCGGCAAAAATAGAACATTTCTGTTATTTTCAGCTCAATTCCAAGGTTCTTTTTATCGTGAAACAATTCAAAATCATCTCTGTTTCTGTAATATGTCTTCCATTCTATCAAATGAGACCAAGAAAAAGAGAATACAACCATAAATACTATATGAAAATACATCTCAAAGTCAGCGTTTTAATCCAAAAACACGGTAGGAGTTTTTTTTTTTTAAATTCCTGGACAGTGAGAGCAATTCTAAGATCAGGAGTCTGTACTGTGAAAGAGTTAAGCCAGTTCCATTGCTCAATTCGACCAAATTCTTAGCTATTTTGCTAGTACGCACAAAAAATCACCCATTCAACTATCAGAACCGACCTATAATGTGCATAGAATTTAGTAATCTGGTGAAGTGCACACAAAATTAAACAAATTCCAATTTAAAAATAAAAGTCCAAAATGAGTGCTGTATGCATTCCAGCAACATATCCTCAGTTCATTAATCACTCCCTAGGCCTGTCCTATATTAAGCTGCCCTCCATTTTCAATCCATCATCACACAAAACTATAAAAAGTTTTACCCTATTTCTTGAATACAGCCTCTCCTCACTTAACGATGGAGTTCCGTTCCTAAGATCACATAGGTAAATGAATTCGTCGCTAAGTGAGGAGCATAATATAATGGTAGTGGGTTTGTCTCAACCATCTTTGATAGTTTTAATATCACTTTTGCACCATTTATAACATTTCTGGCATATTTTTAAATGTTTATACAGTAATGTACTGTATATTGTAGCAAACAGAATAGAAGAAATCAGCTCTAATATACATTATTTTGGTATGCATGCTGCCCAGAGAGCCCGTCCTAAGTCCTAATCATTGGTAAACAAGTACGTCACTAAGTGAGGAAAGGCTGTAATAAAATTTAACCAAGAATGATTGGTCATAGTTTAGGGGTGTCCCAGTAATTGCAACAGACCTGGTAAACACATTAAACAGACTGGGTAAGGTATTACTCTCCCCCAGGAAAATTGTAAAAATAAATTATTTCTACTATTTTAATCCTTTCATTGTTGGTCCCGCTGTATCACGGCTTTGAAGCCAGTGTCAGTCCCGTAGTATGACGCCATGAGCTCATCTCACTCAGATAAGCTGTGAGTGATAAATTTGGGCCTAGATATGAGAAAATGGGTCTATGTGGTAAGTGTGCACCATATAAAAAAAAAATCCTGCAGCACACATTGCATAAGAAAAAACTGATCGTGTTTTTGGTTTACAACAGCGACTTTGCAGTGTATTGTCGTATGGTTTTTATGGTTATATTCTCAATTTCTTATTCTCATTTGATAGAATGGAAGGTATATTACAGAAATAGAGATGAGTTTGGTTAGTTTCAGGACTGAAAGTAGCTTGAAATTGAGCTCTGAGTAATGGAAATGTTTGATTTTTACTGATGTTCCAGAGTACACTTGTCCAATATGCATTCAACTGGCCAGTCTAATATGCATTTAGGAATGCACTGACATTATTTATACAGTTATTGCAATAATGCAGTAGTCTGCATAAAAGTAAATTTTCAGTTTTTTTGTGTGAATAAAAATTCAAAATGAAAAGCAAGCATAATATAAGAGGGGCCTTGAGACATGTCTAAGAAGCAATGGAAATGTTTATTTAGTGCCAGGAATATCTACATTGTTTATTCTAGATCCTATTTTCAAATTGGCAATTACCGAACTTTGTGTGAAATTGGCCAATTTACCAATTTCTGATCACTTTATTAGGTAGTTGAAATAGGTAAATGGGCAGTTTCTTGTGTTCATTTGATAGAATGGAAGGAATACTAGCAAAACAAGCTATGAGTTTGGTCGACTGAAACAATGGAATTGGCCAAAAATAGAGCGTAAATTGGGCAAACTTGCCGATGTGTAAATATCGCCAAGATCGCTAACTTTGTAAGAGGATAATTCTGTAAGTTTTCCATCAAATTTCATACTCTTGATTTCATTACCTTCGGTATATTATAAGCTGTATCAAAACTGTAATTCTATACTGAACTTCTCTACTAGACGTATTAAAGCCTTATAAAATTACCTAATAGAATGCTCATTTCTCTTGTACTCATTGTAACTCATCTAATGACTATATGAACTGTTATTGCCTTATTAATCTAAAGTTAATTTTAAGTTTGCCTGAAATGCTGTGCATACAAAGGGGCTTTTGGCATGTACCCCCAACTTTTATATTCCTTGTACAATCATGTATCGTATCAAAACAAAATTATTATTATTATTATTATTATTATTATTATTATTATCATATTTTCTCACTAACTTTCCTTTCTCCTATTTAGGTATATCACAACTTTAAACGCGAAGTGGACAAATTTCGTATCCACGTATATCGCTGCGACGGGCCTTGCATTAATAAGCGACCATACTTTGGTATTCTTCGTCGAGCTATTGCGCGGCCGCCAGATCCGAGCGACAAGTGGTGGGCTCGACATAACCAGGAGTGTGGAGGCACATTTCACAAGATTGAAGGACCAGGAGTTGTTCCTCCCACTGATTCAAAAGGAGAAACAAAGCCTAAACATATGTTCAACCCCTGGATATCCACTTCATCTAACCTCCCAAGCAACATGCCATTAGTTCAACCGAATGCATCAAATTCATGCAACTCTTCTAATATTGAATATCACTATAGTGATAAAAATAACGTTCATATAAATACACCCGAAGGTTCACATATTACAAGGACAAGTGGTACAGCAAAGTCTCATAAGACTGCTCAGCAGTCTCTGCCGAGTGATGATAGATGTAGGAGCTATAATGAAGATCACATTCTACAAAGAATAAAGACAAAATATTCAAATCCTAAGAGATCAATTCTCTTGTCAAAGGAGGACACAAAGAAAGCTTATTGTGTTAGACGGCAAAATAGACAGAAAAGAGGAAAAAGCCCTGAGAAGGGTACTCTTATTGATGGTAATGTGAATTGCAACTACATTGCCAGGTCATCAAGTAAAATATACCTTCAAAAGTACTTAAATAGATTTCGTGAAGCTAGGAACTTAAAGAGCTTTGTGACACACAAACCAAATGTATTAAGTGCGAAATGTAAATCGGACACACGCAGTGTAATTGAGAAATATATGAATAGATTTTATGAAGCAAAAAAGTTACAGAATAGTTTGCTGCAAACTACTTCAGAAAGTAATGCATCATTATTTACATTACCATCAACTTCAATTTCAAAAGGTAATTCTTTTAAAGCAATGAAAAAAGATGATCATAAACCTACAAACCAGGGCTCAAGTACATCATGTCCTATGTGTAACATTTCTATATCAAATGCAGTTTATGAGCAACATATTCAAGAGTGTTTTGGAGATGATCTAGATATAGAAATGAATGAGTCACATGAAAAGGTAGAACCAAAGAAGGTTATTGACACTTCACCAAAATGTATGACAAAAGAGAGCAGAGAGGTAGACAGTAACTGGAATGAACATCAAGCAAAAATTTGTCCAAACTGTAAATCACTCATCCTTGCTCCAGAGATGAAATTGCACTTGGAATATTGCTTTGACTCTGAGAATGATGATGATGCTGATAATGAGTTACTCAGCAAATCATCTGATAAAAATGAAATAATACATTTTGATGCTTACCATAAAGTCACTGATGTTGTATCTTGCCCATCTTGTATGGAAAATGTTGAAAAACACTGTATACAAGAGCACCTGAGTAACTGTTTACCAATATTTTCTGAAGAATTTGATTAACAGATATGTTTTAATGCATTTAAGAAAGAATGAGGATGTTGCAGTTTGAAGTGTCATCTTATTTGTGATGTCAGCACCCTTCTGGCAAGACAGTGAGTGAATGAATGATTGTGAATGTATTTCCTCAGTAGATGGCTGATGTTGCACTCGCTGAAAAGGACACACTGTATATATTGAATTTTTATATACTTTTATATTGCCAATGTTTTCTTGACCTTGAGAAGGCATATGACACAACTTGGAGGTATAATATTTTGGCCCAAGCCCACTCCTTAGGCCTCTGAGGCAATCTACCATCCTTCCTTAAGAAATTTTTAACTGACAGACACTTCCGTATTCGAGTCAATAATGTGCTTTCTCCGGACTTCGTCCAAGCTGAAGGTGTCCCTCAGGGATGTGTTCTGAGCACAACACTTTTTCTCCTTGCTATAAATGATTTGGCCTCTGTTCTTCCACCCAATATTTGGTCATCACTCTATGTTGATGACTTCGCTATTGCTTGTGCAGGCGCTGACTCATCTCATTGCAGTTTCTCTCCAGCATGCGGTCGACCGTGTTTCCACTTGGGCCACCACGCATGGGTTTAAATTTTCAAGTACCAAAACTCACCAAATTACTTTCACTAGACGCTCTGTCATCTCCGATCATCCTTTGTATCTCTATGGCTCTCGTATCCCCGAACGTGATACAGTCAGGTTTCTAGGCTTTCTCTTTGACCATAGGTTATCCTGGAAACCTCACATTACCTCTCTGAAGGCAACTTGTCACAGCCGGCTAAACCTTCTTAAAACCCTTGCTCATCTTTCCTGGGGAGCTGATCGTCGAACTCTGCTTCGCCTACATTCAGCCCTCGTTTTATCAAAACTCGATTATGGTGACCAGATTTATTCAGCGGCCTCTCCTGCTACTCTCTCTAGCCTTAACCCCATCCATCACCAAGGATTACGTTTATGCCTTGGTGCTTTTCGCTCTTCCCCTGTTGAGAGCCTCTATGCAGAAGTGAATGTTCCATCCTTGTCTGATCGCCGTGATACCCATTGTCTTCGCTACTATGTACGCTCTCACGATCTCCACAATCCTTCTATTTATAGAATGGTCACCGATATTAGTAGACATTCTTTATTTGTTCGCTGCCCCTGTTTGCTCCGTCCCTTTTCTCTTCGCCTACATTCGCTCTTGTCTTCCCTTCAGTTACCACCTTTATATGTTCATGTAGCATCTCACTTTTCCTTACCTCCCTGGGAAGTTCCAGCTGTTCGGGTCTGTTCTTTCTCACTCCCTTGCTGGAAAGCCCAACTGCCTACGGTGGCTTCCCGATCTCTTTTTCTTGATCACTTCCACTTTCATTCTCATGCCATCACTGTGTACACAGATGGCTCTAAGTCTTCAGACGGCGTCGGATTCGCAGCAGTGTTTTCGGACAGGGTCGTGTGGGGGCATTTACTATCTTCAGCTAGCATTTTTACTGCTGAATTGTATGCCATTTTTGCAGCACTTATTCGTATCGCATCTATGCCTGTGTCATCATTTGTGGTAGTCTTAGACTCCCTTAGTGCTCTACAGGCTATACGAAAATTTGATACATCTCACCCCCTAGTTCTCCGTATCCAACTTTGGCTATGCCGTATCTCTACCAAGCATAAAGATATTGTTTTTTGTTGGGTCCCTGGTCATGTCAACGTACAGGGCAATGAACAGGCAGACACTGCTGCGCGATCAGCAGTACATGACCTACCAATTTCCTATAGAGGTGTTCCATTTCTGGACTATTTTGCTGCAATAGCTACCCACCTTCACACCCGTTGGCAACAACGTTGGTCAACTCTGCTTGGTAACAAACTTCATTCTATTGAACCAAGCATAGGTTACTGACCGTCTTCTTGTCATCAGTGCCGAGGCTGGGAGACCACTCTCTCCCGTCTTCACATTGGCCACACTCGTCTTACTCATGGGTATCTCATGGAGAGGCACCCTGTTCCTCTCTGTGAGCAGTGTCAAGTTCCAGTATCGATTAGCCACATTCTGTTAGACTGCCCTCTCTATCAACGAGCACGCAGAATTCACCTCCAACACCGTCTTCGTTCTACTACTCTCTCTTTACCTTCCCTTCTTGCTGATGGACCCTCCTTTAATCCTGACTCTCTCATTGACTTCTTGACAATGACTGACTTACTCCACAAGCTCTGATGATGATACCTTTCGCACTCCCCTCAGCCCTTTCTAGCTCAGTCTCTTGCTGCCCTTTACCCTTTCACCATCCACTGCCCTGCTGTTATCCATAACCTATTACTCATCCATCTCCCTTTTGCCACCTGATGCCCTCGCTTCCTTCCTGCCCTGCAGCGCTGTATAGCCCTTGTGGCTTAGCGCTTCTTTTTTATTATAATAATAATGCCGATGTTTTCATTAATAGCTAAAATGAAAATATCTTGCCTTATATTTTATTTGACTTGTGTATGTAAGCGGGATGTAACAATTACACCACTCATTGTGCTTGCTCTTGGAGAGCTTTGATTGGCCGCCAGCACTTGTTAACTACCTGCCCACTCATTATGTAGTTTTGTCTGAGCCGCTGTCTATAGAGTAGCTGTGACAAGTCACGTGACACCTCTGATGTCAGAGCTGTAGTCCTTACCTCACTATCACTGCTTTTCTAAGAAGAAACATCTCTCTCGTCTCTCTCTGGTTGTTCATTCAAATTCAAATTCAAATTCAAAGTTTATTCTCTATGAGGATTACAATGCTGAGTTTACAGAATTTGGTTATTGTGTGGTTTACATGTAGTTGAATAATAATTACAGAGTGTACCACTAGAACACTTAGCATGGCTAGGCATTTCGGGCAGACTTAGATTAAATCTTAGGTTTAAAATATTACAAAATTATGAGGTAAGTTGGTATTATGGCTAAGTGACTAAATACTAGTTTGTGAGTTTAGCAATGTGAATGCTTTTGTTTTGGCACTATACATAGTTTCAGTATTGGAGTATCACTTATGACTAGTTAAGATTCATTATTTTAAGATTGAGATTGATATTTCTGTTTATGGTCAAATGGGTGAGTGAGTGTAAGTGTGAACCACCAGGTGGTATTCGAAATTATTAGTTGACAGGGTGTATCAGGGAGATAAGATGTTTTCTGATGGTAGTTTTGAAGGTGATGAATGTGTCTGCAGTTCTAGAGTTTTCAGGTAGGGTGTTCCAGATTTTAGGGCCTTTGACATACATTGAATTTTTGTAAAGGTTTAGTCGGACACGGGGAATGTCATAGAGATGTTTGTGTCTGGTGTTATGCCTGTGGGTTCTGTCACAACTATCAAGAAAGCGTTTTAAGTCAAGGTTAATATTGGAATTTAAGGTCCTGTAGGTGTAGATTGCACAGTAGTAAGTGTGGATGTACTGAACAGGGAGTAAGTTTAGATCTATGAAGAGTGGGGGGGTGTGTTGCCAGGGATGGGATTTAGTGATTATTCTTACTGCGGCTTTTTGTTGGGTTATTATTGACTTTAGGTGTGTTGCTGCAGTTGAACCCCAAGCACAGATAGCATAGGTGAGGTATGGATATATAAATGAATGGTATAGTGTTAGAAGGGCAGTTTGCGGCACGTAGTATCGTATCTTGGAGAGGATCCCAACCGTTTTGGATACTTTTTTGGTTATGTGTTGGATATGGGTGCTGAAATTCAGGTTGTTGTCGAGGTATAGGCCTAGGAATTTGCCCTCATTATGTCTGGCAATTAGAGTGTTGTCGATCTTAATGTTAATTTGCGCATCTCCTGCTCTTCTACCAAACATAATATAATAGGTTTTGTCAGTGTTAAGCGTAAGTTTATTGGCTGTCATCCAAGTCGATATTTTGATCAGCTCATTAACAAAGGTGTTGAGAGTGGCAAGATTAGGGTGAGAGATGACATAAGTCGTGTCGTCAGCAAAGAGAATGGGTTTCAGGTGTTGAGATACGTTTGGAAGATCATTGATGTATATGAGGAAGAGCAGGGGACCAAGGACACTTCCCTGTGGAACTCCAGTATCAAGTGGCCGTGTTGTTGATGCTGTGTCTTTAATGGTGACATACTGATACCTATTAGCAAGGTAAGATTTGAAATATGCAAGCGCATGGCCTCTTATACTATAATGGTCAAGTTTGTGGAGTAGGATGCCGTGGTCTACTGTGTCAAAAGCTTTTCTTAGGTCAATAAAAATTCCTAGTGGATATTCCTTATTTTCCGATGCTGTGTAAAGCAGATCTAGCAATTTTATGGTTGCATCGTTAGTGCTTTTATTTTTCCTGAATCCAAATTGGCAGGGGTTGAGTATGTTTTGTGCCGTTATAAATGAATATAGTCTCCTGTGCACGAGTTTCTCAAAGATTTTGGATAGCAATGGTAAGTTTGATATTGGCCTATAGTTGTTTAAATCTGTAGGGTCACCACCTTTATGTATTGGTGTAACCCTTGCCATCTTGAGTAGTTTCGGGAAGGTACTAGTTTCTAGTGAATTGTTAAAAAGTAATGAGATAGCATGCGAGAGGACATGGGCCGCTCGCTTGTACAATAATGGTGGGACATGAGACAGATTCCCTGAGTTATTTTTGAGTTACTTTATAATCTCGGTGACTTCCGTGGGCTCAGTTGGTGCAAGATAGAAGGAATTTGGGAAATTCCCATCTAGGTAGTCCCCGGCATGGGCATTGGTACGTGGGATTTTATTGGCAAGATTAGATCCTATGGTTGAGAAGAAGTCGTTTATCTTGTTAGCTGTGTCAGTGGGATGCAGTGGTGTTTCATTAGGTTTAGTTAGGACAATATTCTTGTTTTTTTTCAGTTTGTGGGTCCCTAGAATCTGAGAGAGTGTTTTCCAGGTCTTTTTTATATCTCCTCTTGTGTCAGTGAATCTACTGGAGTAGTATAGTTGTTTGGCTTTCTTTATTACTTTGGTGAGGACTGATGAATAGTGTTTAAGAATATCTTTGTGTATTAGGCCCTGTCTATATTGCATGCTATGCATGCTGTGCCTTAAAATGCAGCTCCCTCCCTAGGGCTGACAGAGCACCAGACGATGCCATATTGTCTGTTCCCTGAGGTATAGACTCAGAGTGGACAAAAGTATGAGAATATAGGAAACAAAAAGGGAAAATAACTAGAATTTGAGAGGAAAGGAGATAGTACTCTATTCTCTGTCAGAAATATGCTGCCACTACTTGCTCTTTTAACAGTGGAAGAGATAAAAGTAGCTAAAGTCATAGGCTAAGGGGGAGACATGGAATTTGGGTTAGAGCAGGAAAAACTCAGTGAGAAATAACAGGATAACAATAACAAGGTAGTGGATCCTGATAAGTATGGGCTCTAAGGGTAACTTGGCCTGAGAATTGAGCAGTAGGCACCTTATCAGGGGCTTGACTCTCCAGAAGGCAAAAAATTTAAATCATTACCGTTTGCCATTTAAATTCTGACAAATGGACCTTATATACATGGCTCAAAGGGGGAAGCAAAACGTACCTAAATATTTTTTTTTTTTTTAACACGTCGGCCATTTTCCACTGAGGCAGGGTGACCCAAAAAAAGAAAGAAAAAACTTTCATTATTCAACACTTTCACCATCACTCACACATAATCACAGTCTTTGTAGAGGCACTCAGATACAACAGTTTAGATGTCCCTCCAAACTGCCAATATCCCACTACTGACCACTACCCCACCTTCCTCTTAACAAACATTAGTAAACAACCCCTGGAATACAAGGTCTCTTTTAGACTCCATGATGAAGCCTCAAGTAACTTCACAGCAAAGGTAGGTACGGTTGACTTGCCTGCAGCATTCTCCAATGCCAATGGTGTCGATGATTGGACAGACATATTTCTTAACAAATTACTTAGACTATATAACAAACATTGTCCCATAAAAACGAAACAGATTACGAATAAATGGCTAGGTTGCCCATGGCTAACTAACAGCATACTAAGATCCATTGGTAAGAAACGTCAGTATGAAAAACAATATAGACAGGGCTTAATACACAAAGATATTAACCCGTAAACAGTCCAAGCAGATCTACATTCATATGCGTAGTGCTCCAAAAGTAGATCTACGTTTTTTTTTACATATTTTCAAATATAACAAAAAAAAAGTAGATCAAAGTTTTTTACACGTTTTCAAATGTAAAAAAAAAGAAAAAAGTTCTACTTTTTTTACATATACTTTCAAATGTTGAAAGAACGTATATATACGTTTGGACCATTTATGGGTTAAACACTACGCATCTGTCCTCGCCAAATTATTCCAATAGATTCACTGAAACAAGAGGAGATATAAAAAAGACCTGGAAGACACTCAGATTCTGAGCACCCACAAACTGAAAAAACTAAGGATATTGTCCTAACTAAACTGAATGAAACACAACTACAGCTTATTGATACAGTTAACAAGATACATGTATGTAGATGAATGGTTCACAGAACCGACACATTGATAAATTAGACACATGTGCAACTCTTGGGTATCTTTATTAAGGAAACGTTTCGCCACACAGTGGCTTCATCAGTCCATACACAGGAGAAACTTGAAGAACAGGAGGAGAATGACGTATTCTATTCAAGATTGATGGACTGACCACATCGACTCAAGGTTGAGGGACTGATTATCTCATTCTCCTCCTGTTCTTCAAGTTTCTCCTGTGTATGGACTGATGAAGCCACTGTGTGGCGAAACGTTTCCTTAATAAGATACCCAAGAGTTGCACATGTGTCTAATTTATCAAGTGTCGTTCTGTGAACTGATTCATCTACAAACCTGTCAAACTCAACCATTAAAAATCCCGTTGCCAAACCCAGGCAACTGATTATTTGATGGAACCCAACTGCTGCACCTCTCTGCCACTAAAGCGCCCCGAAGTCATATACCGTATTATTAAGATTGAAACCACAAACCAAGGTGAAACTGATTCCAATCCCACTTTTTTAATTCTCTGTGATGGAAATAAGCACTTGTCAATTTCCCTTTTGATCCTGATTGCACATTTACTCTTATCAAGATCATGTAACTGCACTTTCCCTGGACAAATCTCAAGTAATCCAGGGTACAACACCCCAATATTATTAGAGGTGTTACCCCTCACTCTTAGCACAACGCAGCCCACTGAATCAACATTTTACTCGTTACATCCAAAATCTTCAAGCCCATAATTGTACAATAAGACCTTATGTTTCCCTTTATAACAATTGCAAGCATTCCTCACTACTCGGCAGGCCAATGTGTGACCTCTAGGAAAACAAAAGGCCAAACAAACTATCGGATCAAATCTTAAGAAACGCTTAAGACCTTATACAGTGCGAGATCTAAACCCTCCTGGTGGGGAAGACAAGCAACACTTCTGTCACCACACTTCACCACTTTTCAAAAGCCTGAACTTGCTAAATATATGAAACATAAACTCATATTATTGTGCCTACTACATATATAGAGAATAAAACTCCAATATAAACCCTCCACTTAAACTTCTCCTTTATAGCTACAACAGAACACAGTCACAATACAAGGCATAAGGCACTCTTCAACATCCCTTGTGTCAGTCTCACACTATGTAGATATGCAATGCACATAAAGGGCCTGAAGATCTGGAATTCACTACCTAAACTGGTAGAGGATCCCCGGACTATTTATAAATTTAGGACTTTGCTTAAAAATCATCTCATCTCTCAGTACTAACCAAACCAACCAAAACAACTTCTAATCAGTTATTTTGTTATATTATATGACCTCTAGCCTATTAAACATCTGCCAGTCTATGAAATATTACTGCTTAAACCATTAATTGTAATATTGTTTTTATTATACCTTGCATTAGTATTAAGATTAAATAAAGATTTTAATAAAAGTTAACCATTTATCTTATCCAGATTTAAGTAGTTATTATATACTAGGATTAGTCTGCCTGAAATATCCCAGCATGATAGTGGCTTTCTCTGTACTTAGCAAACGAAAATTCTAATTACACATTGTAACCTTTACAAAGAAATAAAATCTTTATTCTTTATTCATAATAGGTGACTCTCCTTCCAAGCAGTAACATCCCCCCCTCCTCTCCTCCACCTTCTACTTCCAGCTCTCCCCTGACAGGTAAGTGACAATTAAATTTTCATTTACTGTACAGTATTTCATTTAGATTTTCATTTATTAATTTTTACAGTTTCCCTGTGTTGTATAATTTTATCTGCGCTGTATGACCCTTGTTGGTTTAGCGCTTCATTTTTTATTGTAATAATGTATAATTTTATACATTGTTTTATGTAGTAGTTAGTACATTATTAATATATTATTATATTGTCATTTGGGGTCTGGAATGGATTAATTCTATTTACATTATTCTTTATGGGAAAAATTGCTCTGGTTGTCAAATCGACATTTGGAACAAATTAAATTAAAAAACCGAGGTTCCACTGCAAATCTTTTGATTATGTAATGGAAGGGGGTAATTAGGTTTGATCTAAAGAAGAGGAGGGGAGCTCAAATTCCTTGGATCAGGAGTTCTTCACTGGTATTAAGCCATCCCTTATAATGGGGTATATCCTGTGATTTGTTATTGATTTCCGACTTCTCTGATTTACTGTACTGACTTCTCTTAGTTTTAACTGCTCCATTTATAGCCATATTTTTTTTTCCTTACTTTCTATGTCTATCAGTTGACTTGTCAGGAGAGACATACCTGTCAAATTTAGGAACAGTCATAAGCAGAGTAGAGGAAAAAACAACACCTGCCCTCTATAATGGTTCCATCTTTAAAATACAGATTCTGAGTGATTTCTTAACTTTTACAAACATGCTACATCATATGTGACCCTTTCCTTCCATTGCTGCTGATATTCACTCAACATCTCCACCTTTCTTCCCTCTACCATCTCTCACTTTTGCCATGGTGGTACAAGTTTAATAGTCAGGAAAGAACATAATGCTTTCTTATACAGGTTTTAATCAGATGATAACTCGTCAGTTGTTAAATGCCCGCCGGCTTACCAGAGCTAGGCTTAAGAGCAAAGGATCACTGAATGGTAGTGTTTCCTAAGGAACAGGTGTCTCGAAGATAATTTCTTCTTGCTGTGTACTTCTAAATGGCCCACACAGGTTTAGTGCTTTCCTGTAATATTATAATAATATCTGATCATCCACTGGCATACTAACAAATATAAGAGTAATGGAGATCTTAAGTTGTTGACTTTCCTGGTAAGTGTACATCAACACACAGGTGACTGACCAATAGGGCCACACATCACCTAGTGGTAGGTGGGGTAATCAAGTTTGATCTAAGAAAGAGGAAAGTGGCTTAACTGCTGGGATGAACAGGTCTTCATCAGTATTAAGGCACCCCTCTTAAAGGGTATATTTACTCTACATGTGACCAAAGAAACAAAAATCAGATGAATTTTACAGGCATTATGAGTATCAATTTATTAATACTTTATATTTTATCAGACCTTACTAAATGCCAGTTAGAAACTCATTTTGTAGAAACTATAGTTTCTACAGAAACAATTATTATCTAAGTTCTGATACACACTTGTATTCATCTCTTGTACGGTTTGTTCTCTAACATTCCCTGTTTTAATTTCTTCTTAAATTCTTATTAGCATTTAGTTTAACTTCAAAGTAAACTGTGTAGTCTACTATGTAAAGTATTTTAAATTTGTTTATGCATTATTCCTGCATTCTCATTTTAGTAAAATAAGGAAAGAAGATCCAGTTATTTAAAATAAGACTAAGTGGGGGGTTACTAAAAATACCATAGTAAATAACATTTTATAATCTAGTCAAAATCTTTTCAAATAAACAATGCATATATTTTTATCTTGGGTTAGTCTTTGGATATATATAATACAAATGCATCTTGCTGGGAACTACTGCATGTCCTGAAGCAGCCAGGTGGCTGGTCCTCAGTGGGCATAGTCCATCACATACATTCTAGCTTCACGTGAGATCTGCATGTCACCATTCTGACATCAGGCATGGAACATAAAGCATTTTACACAAATTGTGCAAATCTATCCTAAGTGTTCCATAAAAAACTTTACAATTTGTGATAATTTTTAACAGTCTTGCAGCTGTGAGAACAGATGTCAAAAGTTATCTAGTTATGTACTAATGCTAAGAAGACTCCAATGCTGAACTAATGGTATAATTAGTGTATTTATGTCCTGCTAACACTGCCTATCCTCTGCTAGCAGCACTATGACACATCAGCAGTGCCAAACCATGCCAGCAGAATGTTCCTGCCTTTTTGGTAGTACCATACTACACTGGCACTTACTGTATTTTGCTGGCAGAGCATGTAACTCCAGCAATACATTCCACACCAGCAGTGATGTTTTGCCCCACTGGCATTGCTATTTCATTCCAGCATTGCCCTTGCCCTGCTAGCAGTGCCACGTTACGCCAGCAGGGCCTCTACCCCATTTCTGATACTACACTGTAAAAATAAATTTATTCTTCCACCTAAGATCATTATACATTTGCAAAACTTGAAAGGCATGCCAAATTTCACTAACAGTGCCTATGCCCTACCAGCACTAATAGTGTCCATCACCAACCTTTACAAATGTAAATCCAACAGTATGTAAACACTATGTAGTATGGTAGTATCTATGTTCCCCATATACTGAAACCTCCTTAACCAATGCCAGTGGCCACACCTATCTATTAGAACCATAACATGAAAGCACCCTTAAGTCCAGTGTACCCTACCCTTTTCCATGTTGCCCACTTGTGTCACACCATTGTTCCCAATATTGACTGGATCATATGAACCCTGGACTCTGATTAATAAAACCTAAGAAAACAATTAGCAAAGATTTTTTAACACTTCATGCAACAGTTATCGAGTATTACTGCAGTAATGTACTTTACTGACTGAATACTGTCATTTCCCTCTTAAACTGACAAAACAAAACAAAAGGCAAAAATTCCTTTAACAAATGAAGCAATTTAAAGTCATATTTTATCCACATATTAATAAGGAGGAAGGTGAAAAAAATCAAGTTAACAAAAAGCAAGTTGCATGAATTATGAGCAACATTTCTTGCATTATAAGTATAGTAATGTCAGCTGTATTCAAGTGCACCAGACGCTAAATTACAAATCTTGATGCTCTTTGCTTCAGTTAACAATACTGTAAAATTCTTTGATTTATTGCACAAGAAAATATAGTAAACCCTATAATGCTGCTTTGCAGCAGTTGATCTTAGAATGAGGTAAACCTGAAGAAAATGTTGTCTATCTAAATTGTAACATCTGAACCTGCATTCCCTGCTGGTAATACTTGCTGAATTTTTCATGCAATCACCTGAAGATGTGACTTCCCAAGGAAAACAGTGAAATATAGTTACTATATGCAAATTCATAGATTAGGTAAATTATTTTACATTAATGGTACATAAATTGTAGCAAGGTTAGGTAAAGCTGCTAGTACAGTTTTAGTGCAAAAATGCAAAATTGTATATGAAAGTTTTGCATAACTATATTACATTAATTTACTTGGAGAGTAAAGAGGGGAAGTGAATCTTCAGGTGATCCTGTTGAATAGTTGACTCTCTGTACACCAAGTACATATTGTAAACTACCAATATCAGAAATATGAAAAAATTATAGTTGGGTTTAGCTATCACTTAAGTTAACCATATGTCATTTGCTTACACTATAAGATTTGAGTTTTTGACAATGATTGGGTCACCTGAAGTTTGCATCTCCCCCCTCATCTCCCAAGAAAAAACAGTTAAATATAGTTATACAAATTCTTGGTATGGTTAGGTAAATTAAGCAATATTATTTTACATAAATTTTAGCAAGGTTAGGTTAAGTTGCTATACTAGCTTTAGAGCAAAATAAAAAAAAATTGCATATAAAAAACTTAAATGATTGAGTTTAATTTTTTTTATGTTGGGGAGACTCTCTACCTGATTAGTGCTTCCCCGTTAAATATATTAATAATTATTATCTTTGGGAAGGAGAGGAGCAAAAACTGAGGTGATTTGAAGGATTTCTTTAACAAGTATACAAAATTAGGAAGGCAAACAAATGAATGAAAAGATAAAATGCCAACCTTTATGAGGAGTACCTCAAGGCTGGTGAAGGGTTCTTGATCCAAGGAATTGGAGCTACCCTTCCCTTGAATCAAACCTGATTACCTCATATTCCCCAGGTGCTGTGAGACCCCTATGGGCTTATCATTTTGCATGAATATAATAATAATAATAACAACAACAAAATACTCTGACAAAAGACTCACATCACCTCCCCAGGAAAACAATTAACTAAATGTTAGGCAAATTTTGGTTAGATTAGGTGTAAAAGGATATACAGGTTGGCCATCACTAATCCGGCATCATCGGAACCTGTAGGGTGCCAGTTTAGTGACTTTGCCTTATTACAGAGCGGTTAGGTTAGAATACACTTAACCAAACAGTGATATTTACGCATCGGCGATTTCACCCACTGTACACCCTATTTTTGGCCCATTCCATTATTCCAGGCTACCAAACTCATAGCTATTTTGCTAGTATTCCTTCTATTCTGTCGAATGAGTACAAGAAACCTCCCATTCACCTATTTCAACTACCCAATAAAGTGGTCAGAAATCGGTACTTTGGCTAGTTTCATACAAATTTCAAAATAGGGTCCAGAATAAACAATGCAGATATTCCTGGCACTAAAATAGAATTTTCTCTCTTCATTAGTCACATCTCCAGGCCCCTCTTATATTATACTTGCTTTCCATTTTGAATTTTTATTCACACACAAAAATAGAAGATTTACTGTTATGTAGACTACTGCATTATTGTAATAATTGTATAAATAATGTCAACCCATTCATGACTGGCCAGTTGGACACGTATTGGATGGTGGACATCATTTGCTTACTCTTGAACATCAGCAAAAATCAAACATTTTCACTACCTTGAGCTCAGTTTTAAGGTACTTTCTGATGTGAAACCAATCAAAATTATATCTATTTCTGTAAAATATCTTCCATTCTATCAAATGAGACCAAAAAACAAGAATACTGTACAAGCGTACAAATCATACGAAAATACACCGCAAAGTCGGGTTTACACCATAAACACAGTCGCAGTTTTTTCTCATTATGCACTGCGTGCTGTAGGATTTTTTATATATAGTGCACACTTACCACACAGACCTAGTCTCTCATATGTAGGCCCAAATTTACAAGTCACAGCTTATCTGAGTGAGCTGAGCTCATGGCGACTGACAGTGGCTTCAAGGCCACCTTATCTTTTATGAACAATGTATAGTGTATGTGCTTTATACAATGAGAAGCATTTCTCTTATTCACTGGAACCATGGTTAGGGCTAAAAGTGAGCAAGTTATAGCAATAAATGGAGAAAAAGAAATTGGAATGATTTATGCAGCAAGTAGCATCACCAAAGAGTAGTGCCAGGTTGGTGTGACGACCCCGGAAATTTGAAGTTATGATAGCTGAAATTAGCGCCAGAGTACTGATGGAACCGGATTATTGATTGCCAGATTAGTGATGGCCAACCTGTATTACATATTACTGGTAGGTTAGGTTGAAAGGTTAGTATTGGTACAAAATTAAAAAATTTCCATATCTTTACCTGTTTTCCTCAGGGACAAGGGAAGGAAAGGAAATCATGTGATCAGAAAACAGTACAGGTGAGATATAAGAAATAGCAATATTTAAGGAATAGTGTAGTGTAAAGTATGATTGTGTGGCAGATCCAAAAGTGCTGCATTGAATGTGGATTTACACAAAAATCAGCAATTGTACAAAAGGCAACAATAATTTCTGTCAGCAGTTGCTTCCTAGGAAAACTAACAAATAGACCTCTCAATATATTTTGCAGAGCAGAATACTGAAAATGAAATTACATTAATAGTAACTATTCTGAGCACCTAGTAATTTCCCCATTTCATTTCCAATTAAAATTAAAATTTTGTACAAATCTGTAGAAAGCTAGCTATTAATAACATACACATTTTACCACTGTATTTTACTTTCTTAAGGTATGCCAAGATAGGCCTCAAGTATCTATAAATATTAAAATATAGCTATGGTCCAGTTTCATCATCCAACCATGAGATATATACTATATAAGATACCAATACTATATGTAAAAAATAAGTAAAAGCCAATAACAATAATGATTTTCTTGCTGTTTTGTACATCGTAATATGTGAATTAACTGTGTGCTCAAGCAAGGCAATTTAATGAATACTGATTTAGATATATTTAGTATATTTTCATCAAATATGCACAGAATTTTTATTCCTAAAAGTTGATGAGTTACTACAGATAATGAGGGTGAACTCAGCTTCTTAATACTGTGATGGTAAAAACACTTACCAGTAATAACAGTGCCATATTTGTTTAAATAATAAAAAATAATAAAAGTTAAAATAGCTTGTTATTTTTACTGTCATAACAGTGTTTTTAACATTGTTTACAAAAGTTCAGATGGTGAGTTCACCCTCAGTACCAGCAATGCTTCATGTATATAAAAGATTTAAATTTTATCCACTACAAGTCCATGAACACAAACATTGAGCCTAATTGTAAGATTAATGTATGTATATTGTTAATTGTATGAAGATTAAGCTGTATAGAGATAAACTATGGACTTACAGCAAATTAACTAGGTCTTTATCAACTACACAAGAGATGATCCATTAATCCACAAAAAAGGAAAGTGAAATTGTATGTCAAAATGCCAAGTAGGCCAGATATTTCAGCAACAAGTGACCAAGTATCCTAGTACTGTACCATATTCAAAGGGGTTAATATAAAGGCTAATCAGTAGAGACATTATTTTCTTGAAAGCCAAATGGATGGGACTGGCAAAGAAAAAAAAGTTACATGGGTTGTGAGCATCCATTGAGGAATGATTGACCTGAAGACCAATGTAAAGGAATACTATCAGTCACCAGCAGCCAGAGATGAGAAGGCAAAGATGGGTCACAAGGGTTTCCTTTTAATAAATTTACGTATTCTGTGGATGTATAATTGTGAGGGGTGTCCAAAAATAAGAATAATATTTGGACTAGGACCTGAGCTTTTAACCTTTGCCCTTTTCACCCCAAGTAGCCCATAGTCAATCACTGTCTTATGAGTAGCTAAGTCACAAGTCTGTCCAGTCTACTGAAAAAAACATGACTAATAAATTTAAACAGTTACTGGCTAAGTGAGTACAGTGATTTGGGGCTTAGTTGAAGTATAACCCACTTCTGTTAGGGACAGAAATTAATTTGGAGTTAGTGCTTTTGGGTAAGTATGTGGTATTGCCAGTAAGAAGCATAAGTAACTGGGCTGGCCTAGAGTGGTTAAAAATTGTGTATTTGTCAGTCACACGAGTGGCCTGTTTTTTTGTACAATAGCTTCCCTGTTTTTCCTGTACATATAAAATTGTAATTGTATACTGTACAGTATGCCACTTTATGTAAAGTTGTTTGACAGTTTAATTGCCAAATTCATTAGCCATTTAACAGTCACTTATTATTATTAAGTGGAACATCAAATATGTACGTATAAGGTAATGTAACATTATTCAAGTCCAAGTTTATTGACGAAAGTGATTATTAAGGTATGTTGAATCTAAGAGTATAAAAGATTAATATTTTTAATTGGCTTCAAATTTAGCAATGGGTCCCCTCGAGGAAGGTTCCTTGATGCTGGTGAAGAACTTTTGATCTAAGGAATGGGACCTACACTCCCTTTCCCTGAACCTGATTGTCTCTCATTCCTCCAGGCACTGCATGACCCATAGAGGTTTAGCACTTTTCCCATGAATTTAATTATAATAATGGATCACTGAGGAATATGATTATTATTATTACATTCATGGGGACCCCTAAAATCATAGGGGTTGTACAGCCCCAGAGAAATGGGAGGCAGATCAGATTAGATCCAAGGAAAGGGAGGGTAAATGTGAAGTAAGATACTATATTAATCTTATAGATTCAATGAGAATACAAGTTCAAATTTGACAAATTTTTATGTACAGTAAATTTTCTGTAGAAGCAGTTATCACATATTGAAAAGCCAAGTTAAAATGTGGTTTTGAATACAGTAATTTTAAAATAAAATTAGCAGCGTTATGATGAAATTATACATGTATTTTGTAAGGGGTGAAACTGAGCTAAAATTATTTAATTATTTTCTCAAAACACTAATAACTTACTGAACAGAGGGTTCGATTCCATGGCAAGCCAGTCCTAAAACTAGCAGGCCGGTGCACTACCCAGAGTGGCCTAATTAGATTAATAAAACTGGGTGTATTTCTATGCACTCTACGAAGGTTTTCATGGGCCCCACTGTGACCACAAATACAGGTTTTTCTAGACAACTCACTGCAGCATGGCTATGGCATGCTCTAGTTCAAGTTCCCTTACAGTTTTGTAAGTCAATCACAATACTAATAAAACCATTGAATATAATTAGTACGGAATAAATTAGCGTAATTACTTTCAAGGCGAATAACATGAATAGGCTGAATATGGACCAATCAGAAGGGAATATGATTGTTTTTCTTTTTTTAGTAAATGCTTTATGATAAAACATAATGCTCTTCATTTAAAACAAATGCTCTTCATTTCTACCAGACTGCTAGAATTTGCCACTCAGTCCAACCTGCTGCCCAATAGATTTGACTGTTATGGGGCTATAGGACCCAACATGTATTTATGTATCTAATAACAGTTACTCTGGAATACCTAATTATATTGAACTGATGGGGGCACAATTGCTTTAATTTTGTCGTAAGAGAATGGAGAAAGAGCTAGTTGGGTCAAGCCTCAGTGGACTATAGACACACACACAATTAAACTAAGTAGATCATAAAAAAGTAAAATAAGGTGATCATAAAAGTAAAATAAGATGTAGTGGGAAAAACAAAATTATTGTAATAGCTAAAGAATTGGGCTTGTCGACAGTCTTTTGATTGTTTTGATGGGTGGATGGGAGGAGCGTAGCTGTGCCCCTCTCTCTGCCTCGCTCTTGTTTTGGCTTCAAGCTGGGAAGGATCTCCTTCTCTTTCTTCTTGTTTCTGGACAGGATGTGAGTGCTCCAAAGGTAAGATTTGGGCTTGAATATGGTGTAACTATTCCACCCAGGGTGACTACAGTGTGTCAAAACATTGGGTTAAGGTCATCAAGAGAAAAGGAGGACTAATTGTTTCAGAAGGGACCATGTGGTTGTCCTAGCAGGGCAGCTAAGAGTGTGCATGCTTATGTTACGAATAGGAGAATTCCTAATTTGTACATTCTGTATATTTTCTAGAATCCCTATTTTTTGTAATAGAAGTTTAAATAACCTGTTGAAAGGGCTGGTGAAAAGATTTCAGAGACTGAAGATGGCTAATCATGAATGTAAGTATTACCCTAAGCTACCCCCCACACTAGAACAATAGTGAGAACCGTACCATCATAGTAAAAAGGGAAAACAACGTAACATGGGAGCTTGACCAGGAGAGTCATTTGACTGCTGAAATAACTCAAAACATTCTTTGAACTATATGTATTGGTATGGGGTAACATGTTTCTGGTAGGAGAGGATTTACCAAGGTGGGTCAGTGGAAGTGTTGTTTTCATATTAGTTTGCAGGTTGTTTTCCTCTTAGGTAGGAGAAAAGTTAGGTAACACATTTTTGTTGGTGGTTATGGTAAGTGCTATGTGCATATTTTACATTCAACTTGTGTTATTTTATTTGCCTGTGGGGAAACTTTGTCCACTGATACTGTAAGAGGGAAGCAAGTGTTTAAGGATATAAAAGCTATGTTAGAGGCTGAGTCTTTAAACTTTTCAGTCTTCAGTGAGGAGGATAATAATTCATCAGTAAACATGTCATTAACAGTGACCATAAGGGATCACCTACTCCAGGTGATAAGGAAATGGAGAGGATAAAACTTAAACTAGCTGTACTATAGGCTGAAATGAAAGTAATGAAATCTAAGGAGAGAGTACATCAAAGGTTAGGAGGTTCAGAACAAGAGTCTGAGCAGTACTTTACTTTAACATAACTAAAGCTGCAAATTTTGTCCCCAAGTTTACAGAGTGGCCCAGACAGATATTTTTCATTTTTTTTGAGAAGTGCTTTGGCACAAGGGAGTGGGCTACCCTAGTTTGCATGCAGCTTGTGGGTAAAGGGTTCCAAAGAGTAGAGACTCGGGAGGGGGAAGATTTTTCTGACTATGATAAAATTAAGGAGGAAGTACTGCTTGCATACCAAATGATGCCTGAGAAATATAGGCAAAAGTTCAAAAGTCAAAAATTTCAGGATGGGCAGTCCTTAACTGAGTTTAGGAATGAGAAACTGTTTCTTTTTAAGAAATAGTTTTGTTCCAAAGGAGTGAACAGACTTTGATAAATTAGTAGATCTGAGTGTTCATTAGGAATAGTACAATGCGATCCCTGTTGACCTCAGAGAATATTTGGAGGACAAAAACCCGGATAATCTTTCAGCAGTGTTGGATCTGGGTGACAGATTCTTAGCTCGTAGGAAACTGGTAAGTAAAAAGTCATGCTCCTTCTGAAATTTCCCCTTCTTGTTGTTGTTGGGGTTTGTAGGGCCACTGACTGCATATGCCACATCAAGCCCGGCTTTCCAGTGCTTGGAGAAGGAACCTCGACCAAAGTGGAAGGATGTTTGACTAATAACTGCATGTTATATGTCCCTGATGTGCCCTGAAGCCAGCAAGAATGAGCAGGTACAGGCCAAGATCTCCTGACGGTCCGGAGGGCTAAACCCCTCCCCACTGAGAAGGAGACCCCCACTTGTTTTAAGCCTTATTCCAAATCCTATCATCATAAAGGTAAGTGGGACAAGAATTTTCAGGGACAAATAGAGACTGAGGCACCCTCTCAAATAGAAGGACAAGGTAAGTCAGCTGGAGCTCAAAGTTTACCTAGGCCATCAGACAATGTTTCAGTTCCTCGAATAAACAGTACCAGTCCTACGCCAAATGGTAAAAACACTTTTAAAAATTATACCTGTTACTACTGTAATAAAACTGGACACACACAGAAGTTTTGCTGGTCTAGGCGGCTGAATCAGGAAAGGGAGGAACCATCCCAGGGAACCCTAACTGCAGGGACACATCCAGTTGCCTGTATTAGGTCTTCAAAACAAGGTGAGGAGGAATCTTTGAATAGTGTAGACCCCAGGATGCATGTATTTTCTAGTAGGTTCACAGTTGCCTTGCATAAGGATGTGGGTAGGGTTGAGAACGTACTGTCCTTGAGAGATGGATGTAGCACCTACTCCTTGCTATGTTCTGGAGTGCTGCCAGTGTCTAATGATACCTATACTGGGGTAGATATATTACTGAAGGGTATTACGGGTTCGACCATAAGGACACTTGTACACAAATTATGGGTAGAATCTGCATACCAAGTTGGCTATCTCCCTGTAGGTATTTCAGATGAAGGGATGAGGATACCTCTCTTTGTATTTGCTGAGCAGGGAAGCACTCTGGAATCTCTGAGCTATTGTCTTGGGGAGGATGGTAATGCTCCCTCCTCGGAGCTTTTTCTCAGTTTCAGACACCAAGATGATGTGGGATTATAATGTGGACCATAATGCTTTGGAGGCTGGAGAGGAGGTGCTGACATTGGAGCCAATTCATGTGAAAATCTTGATAGCAAGTTGTTGTGAGCTGAACATGGTGTGGGGGAAGTTCTCAGATGTAAGGTATAAAACCCACACACCCGAGCAGAAAAAGAATAAGAGTACTGTACACAGTAACTGGTTAAAGGGTTTAAAGTTATATCAGAAATCCAGAGTGACCAATGTTTTAATGGTAGGTAAATGGGTGCAAAACAGTAATCTGTATGTAATGGCAAAAGTATATTTAAGAAATTCCATATTTGTAAATGATTTTGGGAAACACATGCTTGGTCTTACTGAGAAAATTGTTGGCAAGTTGGCTCAGCCACCGTGGAACTTTGTAAAGTTTGGGATGTCAGTAAAGAGGAAAAGTTGAAACCCCATGAGGTAATTGTTAAGGAAGCTGAGTCAATTCAACAATTCTTGTGAGGGAAAAATCAGCATGAAAAATGGGATATGGAGAAAGAAGTGAAATTCTTCCAACATCAGTTTTTAGTGCTTAATGAGAGTAAGTGGGCACCTCCATGCTTCATGGTTCCCAAATTAAATGGCACCCTTATCATATGCACAGACTGCCATAAGGTACAGTTAACTAAGGTTTACAGATTTAGAAAGCTTGATACTGATGCACTAAGAGATGCAAAATGTTTAAACTAAAACATGGGGCAGGAGGATGTGATTTCCATGGCCTGTGTGCCAGTACCATTTCCATGTGTGTAATTCCAATTGGGCTCATTGTGCACTTAAAATTTATGTATGAGATGAAACGTGAAGGTATTTTTGTAAACTTGATGTACACAGCCTGGGTGCAAAGGGACGTCCTTGGTGTTTGTTTTTGTACTGCGAGAGGTTGCAGAATTGTTACTATTTATCAATAACATTCTAAGTGTGTGTCAGCATTCTGCCACAGGAAAGAAAATTTTCATTTTGGGGTTGGCTATTCAGCATTTGTATATGTCTCAGGATCTCTTCATCCTGTTCCTGTGTATGGTGACCAAAATCACTCTTAAGAAGGGCTTTGTTCCTGCAGCCCTTTAATTTGGAAGTCAAATAGTATATAAAAGGCTCAGAGAATGTGGTTGCTGATGCTCTCTAGATGTTTCATGTAGATGCATGGTGCATGCTTTGTACATAGTGTTTGTCTTGTGCTAACCTTGTTGTTTTTGCAGTGGTGAACTCTTGGCGAGCCTGAGTGCTCCATACCAGCCATCTAGCTGTAAAAGAGATGAGTCGGAGCCAAGAGTGTGACGAGAGTGAGTGTAAGTACAGTGGACCCCCGGTTCGCGAAGTCACCGGTAACCGATAAATCCGGTATCCAAAGCGTTATATCGCCAAAAAATTGCCCCGGTTCCCGTAACAAAACCCGGTACGCGATACGATTCATACGAGACGTGTCCACATGTGGCCTGAACTGCCCCATGTGTGCCAGTGTTTACAAGCCAGCCAGTGTGCGCACATCTAAGGATACATTCGGTACATTCCATATTATCCATATTATCACTGTTTCTGGTGCTTGTTTCTGCAAAATAAGTCACCATGGGCCCCAAGAAAGCTTCTAGTGCCAACCCTTCGAGACCAAGGGTGCTAATGACTATTGAAATGAAGAAAGAGATAATTGCAAAGTATTAAAGTGGAGTGCGTGTGTCGGACCTGGCCAAGTTGTATAGTAAATCCCAATCAACCATCTTTACTATAGTGAGCAGGAAAACGGCAATCAAGGAAGCTGTTCTTGCAAAAGGTGCAACTGTGATTACAAAACAGCAATCACAAGTGTTACAAAATGTTGAGAGACTGTTACTGGTGTGGATAAATGAAAAACAGATAGCTGGAGATAGTATCTCTCAAGCGATCATTTGTGAAAAGGCTAGGCAGTTGCATGAGGATCTAATTAGAAAAATGCCTGCAACTAGAGGTGATGCGAGTGAATTTAAGGCCAGCAAAGGTTGGTTTGAAAGATTTAAGAATCGTAGTGGCATACATAGTGTGATTAGGCATGGTGAGGCTGCCAGTTCAGACCAGAAAGCGGCTGAAAAATACGTGCATGAATTCAAGGAGTACATAGAGGCTGAAGGATTGAAACCTGAACAAGTGTTTAATTGTGACGAAACAGGCCTGTTTTGCAAGAAATTGCCAAGCAGGACCTACATTACTCAGGAGGAAAAGGCACTCCCAGGACATAAGCCTATGAAAAACAGGCTTACTCTTCTCATGTGTGCCAATGCTAGTGGTGATTGCAAAGTGAAGCCTTTATTGGTGTATCACTCAGAAACTCCCAGAGCGTTCAGGCAAAAGAATATCCTCAAGGCTAATTTGTGTGTGCTGTGGAGGGCAAACACTAAGGCATCGGTCACTAGGGACTTTTTCTATGACTGGTTACATCATGCATTTGCCCCCACTGTGAAAAATTACCTAATTGAAAAGAAATTAGACCTTAAGTGCCTCCTGGTGTTAGACAATGCCCCTGGTCATCCTACAGACTTGTCAGAGCGACTTTGTGGGGACATGAGCTTCATTAAGGTCAAGTTTTTGCCTCCTAATACCACTCCTCTCCTGCAGCCCATGGACCAGCAGGTCATTTCCAACTTCAAGAAACTGTACACAAAAGCTATGTTTGAAAGGTGCTTTGAAGTGACCACAGAAACTCTATTGACTCTAAAGGAGTTTTGGAAGGATCACTTTAATATCCTCAATTGTGTAAACCTTATAGGTAAGGCTTGGGAGGGAGTGACTATGAGGACCTTGAACTCTGCTTGGAAGAAACTGTGACCAGAATATGTAGACAAAAGGGATTTTGAAGGATTTGAGGCTAACCCTGAGAATCCTATGCCAGTTGAGGAATCCATTGTGGCATTGGGAAAGTCCTTGGGGTTGGAGGTTAGTGGGGAGGATGTGGAAGAGTTGGTGGAGGAGGACAATGACGAACTAACCACTGATGAGCTGCTAGATCATCAAGAGGCCAGACCTGAGGAAACTGCTTCGGAGGAGGGGATGGAGAAAGTGAGGAAATTGCCTGCTTCAAAGATTAAGGAAATGTGTGCAAAGTGGCTTGAAGTGCAAACCTTTTTTGATGAAAATCACCCTGACACAGCTACTGCAAGCCGTGTTGGCAACCTGTACACTGACAATGTTGTGAACCACTTTAGGAAAGTCATAAAGGAACGAGAGGTACAGGTCTCTATGGACAGATATGTTGTGCGACAGAAGTCCAGTGACTCTCAAGCTGGTCCTAGTGGCATTAAAAGAAGGGAAGTAACCCCAGAAAAGGACTTGCTACCTCAAGTCCTAATGGAGGGGGATTCCCCTTCTAAAAATTAAAAACTTCGACTCTCCCCCCTCCTCCCATCCCATCAATCATCACCAGATCTTCATTACAGGTAAGTGTCAATTACAGTGGACCCCCGGTTAACGATATTTTTTCACTCCAGAAGTATGTTCAAGTGCCAGTACTGACCGAATTTGTTCCCATAAGAAATATTGTGAAGTAGATTAGTCCATTTCAGACCCCCAAACATACACGTACAAACGCACTTACATAAATACACTTACATAATTGGTCGCATTCGGAGGTAATCGTTATGCGGGGGTCCACTGTATTCTATTGTGTTTATTCTATTTTTATTATTGCTATTGTAATTATTCTATTGCATTAAACTTAATATTTCATGTGGTAAAAGTTTTTTTTTTCATACTTTTGGGTGTCTTGCACGAATTAATTTGATTTCCATTATTTCTTATGGGGAAAATTGATTCGCTTTCCGATAATTTTGCTTTACGATGAGCTCTCAGGAACGGATTAATGACATGAACCGGGGGTCCACTGTATATATACATGTATATGCGAGTTGAGGCACAGACTGACAACCTTTGATGACATGAGAAGTTCAGGAAGGTATGTGGTATATTTGAGTCTTGGTGTGCTCTGTGTATAAAATGGCCCAACAGATTTGCCTTTGTGGTCCTTGGACCCCTCCATGTTCTGTATCTTCATAAGGTTAGGATCTGTGTGGAGTGGGACCTTGGAAGATGGGCTTAAGTGTATGACCATGTTGAGGATCATGAGTGCTAACTGATAAGTCTCATTGTTTGGTACAGCCACTATGTGAGAGATGTCTTGACATGTTTGTGAAATTTCCTGCCTGGGGTATACCTGACTGCTTTGGATTTGGCTCTACTCTCATCTCTTGATCAGGAAGATGCCATCCTGGAGTACCAGTTCCTTGCTGGATGATCACAGTGGAGGCACAAGACTGTCAGTGCTGGCTTGCACAGTAGGCATTGTGTGCAGTTCTTGCATTGTAATATATGTTGTGTTTAGAAGCCACTAAAGTTGTTAATAGTTGCACCTTTGAGGATGAGTATGTGGGTATGGTTAAAATGTTTTTTTTTTAAAAACCTCTACAATCTGTTCCAGTATTGTTCCTTTCAGGGATTTTGTATGGTATGGGAAGGTTCAGTATAGCCTCGAATATTTGTAGATTGTCAAGTAGTATCTTCACCTTGTTGTAAATACAGTGGAACCTTGGTTTTCATTTGTCCTGGTTTTCGTCAAATTTGATTTTCGATGACTTTTTATCGTCAAAATATTGTCCCAGTTTTCATTTGTCACCTTGGTTTTTGTCCACCATACTGAACGTGTCCACACACCCATGCTCACACAAAGCATCCCATGCATGCATTCTGAGTCAGTCTGGCTTTGTTTCTTGTCGAGTGAACATTACCCTGCGCATTCATACGAAACATTTTGTAATAATCAATTGTTTTTTCTGCTTGTTTATTGAGTCTGACTGCTAAATAAGTCACCGTGGGGCCAAAGAAAGTTCCAAGTGCCAGCCCTTTGATAAAGAAGGTGAGAAACATAATAGAATTCAAGAAAGAACTTGTAGAAAAGTACAATTAAAAAGCAATTAAGGACATTTGTGCAAAGTGGAGTGAGGTGCAAAGTTTTGTGGAGAAATATCACCCTAACAAAGCTGTTGCAAGCTGTGTCTGCAACATGTTCAATGACAATGCCACATCCCATTTTAAGCAAATCTTAGAGACACCAGAAACAGACCTCTCTGGACAGATTTTTTGTGTGACTCTCAAGCTGGTCTTAATGCCAGTAAAAGACAAAGAAGGGAAGTAACCCCAGGTAGGGACTTGATACCTGAAGTCCTTATGGAAGGGTATTCCCCTTCCAAACAATACTCTCCTCCCTCTCCCCTCCTTGCCATTTTCCATATGCCAACAAGTCTTTAATAAAGGTAAAGCTGATTTAAATGTTCATTCATCCATTAAAATTAGTGCTTCATATTTATTTCTCATTGTTTTCTGTATGTAAAACTACAGTTATTCTCTATAAAATATATTTTTTATTAATATTTTTGGGTGTCTGGAATGGATTAATTGGATTTACATCATTTCGTATAGGAAATATTGCTTTAGTTTTCATCGAATTTGGTTTTCGTCAGACTCTCTGGAATGAATTAAAAACAAAAACTGAGGTTCCACTGTAGCAGTAAAATGAAGAGCATTTATGGTGCTGGGTAATATGTTAAAACTTCTATTAGTCTTGCTAACCACCTTCAGGATAATTTTTTTTACTAGCTGTATCCCGAGGGAGACGGCTAGCTTTTGTGAGACTTCGTCTGGAGGTGGGGGTGTTATGGGGCTATAGGACCCAACATGTATTTATGTATCTAAGTAACAGTTACTCTGGGATACCTAATTATACTGAACTGATGGGGGCACAATTGCTTTAATTCTGTCATAAGAGTAGATCACTTATGGAGAAAAAACTAGTTGGGTCAAGCATGTTTTTTTCAGTATAATAGGTTGTACTATAGACACACACAATTAAAATAGTACATCATAAAAAAGTAAAATAAGGTGATCATAAAAGTAAAATAAGGTGTAGTAGTGGGAAAAACAAAATTATTGTAGTAGCTAAAGAATTGGGCTTGTCGACAGTCTTTTGTTTGTTTTGGTGGGTGGATGGGAGGAGCCTAGCTGAGACCCCTCTCTCTGCCTCACTCTTGTTTTGGCTTCAAGCTGGGAAGGATCTCCTCTTTCTTGTTTCTGGGCAGGATGTGAGTGCCCCCGAGGTAAGATTTGGGCTTGAATATGGTGTAACCATTCTACCCAGGGTGACTACAGTGTGTCAAAACACTGGGTTAAGGTCTTCAAGAGAAAAGGAGAGCTAACTGTTTCAGAAGGGACCATGTGGTTGTCCTAGCAGGGCAGCTAAAAGTGTGCAAGATTATGTTACGAATGAGAATTTCTAATTTGTACATTCTGTATATTGTCTAGAATATATCCCTATTTTTTGTAATAGAAGTATACATAACTTGTTGAGAGGGCTGGTGAAAAGATTTCAGAGACTGAGGATGACCAATCATGAATGTATTACCCTAGACTTTATAAAGTCTTTACTTAAGCTACCCCAACACTAAAACATATAGTGAGAACCGTACCATCAAAGTAAAAAGGGAAAACAATGTAACATTGACTCACTCAACACTATTTCATGACAACCAACCTATGCCCCTAGGAACCAAATGGCTCACACCACTTAGCTCAATGTGGTGTAGCCAAACCTAAGGAAAATGTAGTTCCACTAACCAACTGCAGGATATGGAGTCACCCTGCCAGTTTGTCCTGCCTTGCACCTGTCACTCTACCCTGTCTTGCATCTGGCACTGAGTGACCCAGCAAGATACCACTAGTCACTGTGCAGTATTGCCTCTAACTGGATGAAAGCCCCTCTCTTTTCCCCCAAAATCTTAACCAGCCATATCTATGCTCTCAGAATTCATAGAGCCTGCAAAGAAGCTCAAATGGGGCTACTTTATTTAGTTGTGCAGCTTATCTGTTTGATTCCTCTGGCTGGGAAAGACAGTTAAAAATGATCATATGAAGGGCTATCACTGTGCCAGTGTTATTTGGAATAGAGCAACCAGAATCATGGGAAGAGATGAAAGATGAAAAGTGGGTGGATGCAGTAGAGCAGCTAATAAAGGTACTGTGACACAGATTTATGGAAAAGCATGTCTCACTTTACCAGTCATATGACCCTTTTGGGTTTAGTGCTTGGTTATGATTATAATAATTATAATCACTTTATATGAGACCACAGAAGCACAAGGCCTAACTGATGTATAAGCGGGGCCCTCCTGTACAACAACTTGATGAAAACATACAAAAGCTCTAGGAAAGTGTTTTTGGGAGTCGAAAAGCACCAAACGATATAAACACAATGGCAGTAAGTCATGCAGAAGACCTTTCTAACTTATGATGTTTACTGGATGATTAGACTATGCAGCAGGACAAACTCCTGGATGCCTAATGAAAGATTTTGGCAATTCCTTTTAATTAAAAATAATAGAAAGGTTATTAAGATACTGAACATGACAATATTACACCAAATGCCTGCAAGAAAACAGATGTGCAAGAGTGAACTGCTGCATTATGTGCATCAATTCCCTTTTTAAAGATTTTTATTTGCTTAATATTAAGAAATTTTAGCCTCGTAGTTCTTGTAATACACTGTAAATGTCAATTGTAATGTTCTTAACATTTTGGGGAAAAAATTTTGAGAGATTATATGTCAAATTAGTTACAAAGACACCTAACTGCAATAACAAATTTAAAGAAAAAGGATTGTTATTTTAATTTTAATACTTTTACATATTCCTCAGAGGCATACTGGAAGTAAGGGTGTTAAAATGTCCACTGGTCAGGGAGTTAACAGCTTCCATTAGGGTGGTGTGGTCATAGACAAGAAATAAAAGAATGTTTGAACTTGGACATGCCCTGTTAACCTCTTCCTTTCTTGACCTCAATAAGCCCATAGTTGCATAAGTGTCTCAAGAGTAACTAGGTCAGTAGTTTCTTGGGCCAATAAAAAGGTGGTTGTAATGAGTGTGCAGTTACTGGAGAAATCCATAATAGAAACTAAGACTAAGTAAAAATATAATGAAAAACTATTCCTACTAAACTGAGGTTTGCTTAAGACAGAAAAGTTTGGGGATGAGTGGGGAGCTGAGCTGGTAAAAAACAATTACAAGCATGAATAAATGAGTTGGCCTAGAATGCCTGAAGAAACTATAGTAAAGACAGTTGGTTGTGTGACCTATGTTTACATCAACTGTTGCCATCCCCTCGTGATCCTGTATATAATAAATTAGTTGTTTAATGATCCCTTACCTGGTTTTATGTGGATAAATACATATGTAGAGATAAAGCAAGGTACTGTACTGCACTATGATTCAGCTGTTAAAATATTATTGACACTTGTGATTATTAAGATATGTAGTCTTCCTGCTTTTATAATAAAAGATTTAGATTTTTAACGTTTTTAAGTTTAGCAAGGAATCAATAAATATGGTAAAATTTAAATGTTTCATATCATATAAATCAATTGAGAATACAAATTAAAGTATTGTATATAAAATGAGTGAGCCACATTACACTGAAATAAGTGCAAGTGTAATATAAACAGTCACAATAAGAATTCAAATAAAATGAATTACATTAATTTAAATATTTTAAAAAAATATGCATTTTATTAGCCAGTGATTATTGGATTAAAAGGAAATCCACAATTAATGTTTATTAATATAAAATAATTAAGCACCAATGGGTAGTGAAAAATTCTGTGTTAATAGGTACCACTGACTTTGTAATATAAGAAACTTATTGATGTCTTGCATGAAAGCAACTACCATATCCCAGCTACCAAATAGGATGAGTGAAGGGTTAATGGCTAAGAAAGTGATAATGAAAGAGTGATTGCTAATTTTAATTATGTCTAATGTACACTGAATTAACTGAATCTAAGTTAATTCTAAGGAATCATATTAAACAGTTCACCCCCCTCCCCCCAATACAGGGTCACATGGGTCCTCAGCAGCCAAAGGGGCACACTTTGGTAGAAAAACAGCCACACTGACTGCTATGTAAACAAATGACAAGTATGATTATCTGCCTGATCATCAGTGTATAAAGAAGGAAACTGTTCACCTTTACTTTAAAGGTTTATCAGCTGAAATGTGCACATACTTCCTGGTCAGAGTACCTATATACAGCTATAATACTGCTCCTGAGAGCTTTTGGGCACATCACATAGATGTATTATTTATTAGCAGTGGCAGGTTCCTAATGAAGCCACTTTCAGCTGTAATAGACATCCAATTTGCAACACGGCAAGCTTCGTATTCTCCCATCATTAATTCAAACAGGAAGCCTGCACTAGAATCATGTTGTGTCTCAGTCTGACAAAGAAGAGTTGTGGCGTGTCAGGGTTGTTGGGTTTGTGAAAGTAGAATTATGTCTTGTTTTTCTTGATCCATCCTCCCATGCAGATGCTGCCTTTGCTGCACGGCCCAGGGCATCTGTCTTGTGAAAGTCAATTTGAGCATAGCCTTCAGCTAAAGGATGTGGTGACTCTGGACCAGACGCTACAGATCCCAATGGACTGACTGGTGCTGCTTGAGAGGAATCTGACCCATGATCTAGATCAAGGATGATATAGTTGACCTGTGGAGGGTGGTGGTCGGTATCAGTGGTAGTAGTGGTGCCAGAATGGGAGGAGCCTGATCCTGCAGATCCTGCAGCGAGAGACGGTCGAGGAGGCACTGCAGGTACATCTTTTTCTGGTCCAAGATTAACATATACATGGTTATGGTCATGAAGACGGTCTGGGCCTACATTGACATACACTAGATCATTTGTATTTATATCATAATAAGGTTTACTAGAGTTAATGTTCACATATGATCTTGGGCGCTTCGACTGTGTTGAATTTAACTGTGATGTGGGTCTATCTGAATATGAATTTGTATAAGAGACTGGCCTTCCACTATGATTTTCATAGGACACTGTTTTATCTATATGATTTACAAACACTGTTCTCAGTGGTTCTGTTGGTGTAGATGGTGGCTCTCTCATTTCATGGCCTGGAGTTGGTGGGGTCTCTTCAGTTCGATTTACATCATAACTATTTTCATAAAAGGAAAGAGGAGGTGGGCTAAGTTGTGCAGGGGGAGATGCAGGAGAACGAATTGTACCCAGTCCACAAACACCACCACCAACAGCAACACCAGTTGCCCCACCATAAGTCACACCAGTTCCACCAACATTTCCACTTACAACCCCAACAACACTATTTACTGCACTAGCACTTGAACCAGCTGGTACTCCTATAGAGGTAGCTGCTATATTGTTCGGAACTCTGGTATGTGGTCGTTGCACGGGTTCCAAATATCCCTCAAGGTCTGTAGCCCCAACAGTCCCACTATTGCGGGAGTCATCATGGGTCAAGTCTCTACTTTCGTTGACCACTTGAGGAGGAAGAGCAGCCACATCACGAGATGCTGCATCTTCTGTGATATTTTGAATCTGGAGTTGTAGCATGTTAAAAAGTGCCTCTGCCCGTCGGCACTTGAAGGCATAAATGCCTGGGCCTGTGGGGCACCTTCGGCCAGACTCAAAGCTAAACAGCTCTGCGTCAAAGCCATAGCGACGGAGACATCGGAGTGGCCAGCGAATTGCAGACTTGCCTCGTTGGTGAAGCACCAAATCGGTGTCAGTCACCTCCAGCTTAGCAGGACTGAAGCGGTGGCCAAGGTCATCCACATTCACCACTTGAAAGATGTTGGCATGTAGGTCATTGATGTCAGGCTTACTGGCCACGCACCCCATCCTCGCGCCCTGCAATTATGTAAAATTATTTATTAAGTAAGTTTATTCAGGTACACACAAATACAGTTACACAGATTATCATACATAGCAGCAGATGTGTAAAGCAGCTATGATAACCCATTAAAAATATATACAGTGAGTAGCATTGTTAGAAATTATAAAGTTTAGGGTAGAAAAAATAATTATTTCACCCTTACATATACATAAATAGTACAAAATTTATAATATACTGTAGACATTCAGAAGTTTTCACTGTAGATCCCCTCACGGAAGGTTCCTTGAAGTTGGTGAGGGGCTCTTGATTTAGGGAATTGGATCTGTGCTCCAGTTCCCCGAATTAAGCCTGAATGCCTTCCACATCCCCCCCCCCTCGGCGCTGTATAATCCTACGGGTTTAGCGCTTCCCCTTGATAATAATAATAATTCACTGTAGATGTCACTCTTGATATTTTTTAAAACTGGTAAGCATCCTGAAAGCTAATCACATTTTTTGATGTCACGTTATTTTATAAAAATCTTCAAGGCTCTTGGTATAAGGAAGCTGAGCTGATTTCAAATCATCTTTTCCTAAGAAGAAACCTGACTACTCTCCACTACCTTTCCCAAGGATGTAACAATGACCTTTGGAATATGAAGTGTAGCTTGTGGGCTCTGCCCCACTCTTCTCATCCCAGAAAATTTTAATTACTTGTTTTGTATACTTTTCAATTTGCAGGCTAAGAACTATTATTACATAAATGGTCTGGAAAACTGACAAGCTGATGAATGAGACACTTGTGCAACACTTGGGTGTCTTTATTGTGGTAAAGCATTTCCACAGTTATGATACCCATGTGTTGGACAAGCTACGAACTGTTATCTAACCCCAGCTCATTTCAAGGCTCAGCCTTATCAAAGGTATAATACTACTCCCCATGATGCAACCTGCAATAGACACCTAGCACTCAAGTACTTACCTACTGCTATAGACAAGTGAACAGGGGCAGTAAGTCTCACCTTGTCTGAGTATTGAACCTGGATTCATTCAGCTGTTGGCCAATCAGCTACAAATTACATACAAGTGACACATACAGTAGGCACTTTTATCAGACAGCGCCCTTTGCCATACTGCCCAAGACATAAAGACAACAGCATTGGCTAAACAATTGTAATTGACCATACTTTAATGAATGGCCTGGAAGCTCAAGGGTAAACTTAAACCAGAAAACAAACACTTGGAACCTTATTAAGTGTAAGGTTTGTGGCTTTAACGTGCCCTCTGACCACAAAACCTCAAGTGCCAGTAAGCAGGTATTGGAAGGTACTGACATGTGTCCTCCATAAGTTAACCTTATCAGTGCCTAGGAAACTTAAGAAGTGTGTCAAAAGGAAAGGTAATCCTACGAAATACAGTGGACCCCCGCATAACGATTACCTCCGAATGCGACCAATTATGTAAGTGTATTTATGTAAGTGCGTTTGTACTTGTATGTTTGGGGGTCTGAAATGGACTAATCTACTTCACAATATTTCTTATGGGAACAAATTCGGTCAGTACTGGCACCTGAACATACTTCTGGAGTGAAAAAATATCGTTAACCGGGGGTCCACTGTACTTGTTTGGCTAAGGAAACCATACATATTTATTTGATTTCTAAAATAACAGTTTATGGTGAGAGGTCACATTTTCTGAGTGATCTTTAATGCACATACATATTTAAGATGCCTACTGTAAATGGTGCTATAAATGTATATCAACACATGTTGGCTGACACATGACTGATAGGTGTTTACCTGGAGAGAGTTCCGGGGGTCAACGCCCCCGCGGCCCGGTCTGTGACCAGGCCGCTGGTGGATCAGAGCCTGATCAACCAGGCTGTTACTGCTGGCTGCACGCAATACAATGTACGAGCCACAGCCCGGCTGGTCAGGTACCGACTTTAGGGGCTTGTCCAGTGCCAGCTTGAAGACTGCCAGGGGTCTATTGGTAATCCCCCTTATGTATGCTGGGAGGCAGTTGAACAGTCTCGGGCCCCTGGCACTTATTGTATGGTCTCTTAATGTGCTAGTGACACCCCTGCTCTTCATTGGGGGGATATTGCATCGTCTGCCAAGTCTTTTGCTTTCGTTGTGAGTGATTTTCATGCGCAAGTTCAGTACTAGTCTCTCTAGGATTTTCCAGTTGTATATAATCATGTATCTCTCCTGCCTGCATTCCAGGGAATACAGGTTCAGGAACTTCAAGCGCTCCCAGTAATTGAGGTGTTTTATCTCCGTTATGCTCGCTGTGAAGGTTCTCTGTACATTTTCTAGGTCAGCAATTTCACCTGCCTTGAAAGGTGCTGTTAGTGTGCAGCAATATTCCAGCCTAGATAGAACAAGTGACCTGAAGAGTGTCATCATGGGCTTGGCATCCCTAGTTTTGAAGGTTCTCATTATCCATCCTGTCATTTTTCTAGCAGCTGCAATTGATACAATGTTATGGTCCTTGAAGGTGAGATCCTCCAACATGATCACTCCCAGGTCTTTGATGTTGGTGTTTCGCTCTATTTTGTGGCCAGAATTTGTTTTGTACTCTGATGAAGATTTAATTTCCTCGTGTTTACCATATCTGAGTAATTGAAATTTCTCATTGTTGAACTTCATATTGTTTTCTGCAGCCCACTGAAAGATTTGGTTGATGTCTGCCTGGAGCCTTGCAGTGTCTGCAATGGAAGACACTGTCATGCAGATTCAGGTGTCATCTGCAAAGGAAGACACGGTGCTGTGGCTGACATTCTTGCCTATGTCAGATATGAGGATGAGAAACAAGATGGGAGCGAGTACTGTGCCTTGTGGAACAGAGCCTTTCACCGTAGCTGCCTCAGACTTTACTCTGTTGACTACTACTCTTTGTGTTCTGTTTGTGAGGAAATTATAGATCCATCTACCAAGTTTTCCTGTTATTCCTTTAGCACGTATTTTGTGCGCTATTACGCCATGCTCACACTTGTCGAAGGCTTTTGCGAAGTCTGTATATATTACATCTGCATTCTTTTTATCTTCTAGTGCATCTAGGACCTTGTCGTAGTGATCCAATAGTTGAGACTGACAGGAGCGACCTGTTCTAAACCCATGTTGCCCTGGGTTGTGTAATTGATGGGTTTCTAGATGGGTGGTGATCTTGCTTCTTAGGACCCTTTCAAAGATTTTTATGATATGAGATGTTAGTGCTATCGGTCTGTAGTTCTTTGCTATTGCTTTAGTGCCCCCTTTGTGGAGTGGGGCTATGTCTGTTGTTTTTAGTAACTGTGGGACAACCCCCGTGTCCATGCTCCCTCTCCATAAGATGGTAAAAGCTCGTGATAGGGGCTTCTTGCAGTTCTTGATGAACACGGAGTTCCATGAGTCTGGCCCTGGGGCAGAGTGCATGGGCATCTCATTTATCGCCTGTTCAAAGTCATTTGGCATCAGGATAACATCAGATAGGCTTGTGTTAACCAGATTCTGTGGCTCTCTCATAAAAAATTCATTTTGATCGTTGACTCTCAGTCTGGTTAGCGGCTTGCTAAAAACTGAGTCATATTGGGACTTGAGTAGCTCACTCATTTCCTTGCTGTCATCTGTGTAGGACCATCTTGTTTATGTAGGGACCCAATACTGGACATTGTTCTCGACTTTGATTTGGCATAGGAAAAGAAATACTTTGGGTTTCTTTCGATTTCATTTATGGCTGTTAGTTCTTCCCGCGATTCCTGACTCCTATAAGATTCCTTTAGCTTAAGTTCAATGTTTGCTATTTCTCTGACCAGTGACTCCCTACGCATTTCAGATATATTGGCCTCTTTTAGCCACTCTGTTATTCTTTTACGTCGCCTGTAAAGGGAGCGCCTGTCTCTTTCTATTTTACATCTACTCCTCCTTTTTCTTAGAGGAATAAGCCTTGTGCATACATCGAGTGCCACTGAGTTAATCTGTTCTAGGCATAAGTTGGGGTCTGTGTTGCTTAGTGTATCTTCCCAGCTTATATCAGTTAGGACTTGGTTTACTTGGTCCCACTTTGTTTTTGTTATTGAAGTTGAATTTGGTGAATGCTCCCTTGTGACTAATCTCATTATGTCGGTCTGGGGCTCCGCGCATACATGTCTGAACCTCGATTATGTTGTGATCTGAGTATATTGTTTTTGATATGGTGACATTTCGTATCAGATCATCATTGTTAGTGAAGATAAGGTCTAGTGTATTCTCCAGTCTAGTAGGCTCTATTATTTGCTGGTTTAAATTGAATTTTGTGCAGAGATTTAAAAGCTTGTGTGTGTGTGAATTCTCGATGTTACCATAGTTGTTGAACATATTTACAGATGTTGTAAAAGAAGTGAATGATAGGGTGTTAGGGGAAAAGTATGGGACTGAAAAATTGTGGGAAGTGTCACAATTGCTTTTTGCTGATGACACAGTTCTTCTGGGAAATTCTGAAGAGAAGCTGCAAAGGTTGGTAAACAAATTTGGGATGACATGTAAAAAGAGGGAAAGTAAAGGTAAACGTGGAAAAGAGCAAGGTGATTAGAGTATAAATATACAGTGGACCCCCGCTTAACGATCACCTCCAAATGCGACCAATTATGTAAGTGTATTTATGTAAGTGCGTTTGTACGTGTATGTTTGGGGGTCTGAAATGGACTAATCTACTTCACAATATTCCTTATGGGAAAAAATTCGGTCAGTACTGGCACCTGAACATACTACTGGAATGAAAAAAGTTCGTTAACCGGGGGTCCACTGTATATATATGTCGTGCCGAATAGGCAGAACTTGCGATCTTGGCTTAAATAGCAACGCTCATCTTGCCATATAGGACAAGCAAAAATTTGTGTATGCAATAATTTCGCCAAAATCATTCTGAACCTAATGAAAAAAATATGTTTCACTGTGTTTGTTTAGTATTAAATTATTTTAAACAAATCTAAAATATATTTAGTTGGGTTAGGCTAAAATAAATTGTTCTTGTTATAATAAGGTTAGGTAAGTTTTCTAAGATTCTTTTGGTGCAAAATTAAAAAAAAATTACATTAACATTAATGAAAAAAATATATCTTTCAACGTATAAAAGAAAATTTCAGAAAAGATTTAATTTTAAATGAGTTCTTGCTAATTGACCAGTTTTACATATTTGGCATGACATATATATATATAAATATATATATATATATAAATATATATATATATATATATATATATATAAATATATATATATATATATATATTATATATATATATATATATATATATATATATATATATATATATATATATATATATAGGCAATGAGACTGGATAGCATATCAGAGGTATGGAGGAACCAAATGTGTTCAGATATTTGGGAGTGGACTGGTAGGCAGATTGTTCTATGAGAAGAGGTGAATCATAGAAATGAAGGGAAAAAGGTGTGGTGGTGCAATGAGGCATCTATAGAGACAAAGAACTTTATCCATGGAGGCAAAAACAGAAATGCACCAGAGTATAGTGGTACCAACACTTGTATTGTTGACAAATATGGATTTTGAATGTTGCAGAAAGAAGGCTGGGGGCAGCAGAGATTTTTTTGAGGGCAATGTGTGGTGTGAATATTATGCAGAAAATCTGGAGTTTGGAGATTAGGAGGAGGTGGGGGGTTACCAAAAAGAGAGGGTGTTAAGGTGGTTTGGATATTCAGAGAGAAACTGAAGGACTAGGAGAGCATATAAATCTGGGGTGGAATGAAGGAGGGGTAAGGGGTTGTCCTACGAAAGGTTGGAGGGAGACAGTAAAGGTTTTGAATGCTAGATGCTTGGACATCCAGCAAGCTTGTGTGACTGAAGTGCTGTTGGAGTGTGAGCAAGATAATTTTTATGAAGGGAGTCAGAAAAACCGGTTAGCTAGACCTGAGTCCTGGAGGTGGCAGCTGTCTGAAGGATGGGTAGGGATGGTGCGGCTTGGAAAGTCATCGGAACTGCGACATCGGCGCCCTTCTAGCAAAAGTGATTGAATAAGTGACAGCAAAAGCGTTTTCTTCTTTGTCGGGTCACCTTACCTCAGTCGGAAACGGCCGTAGTGTTAATAATAATAATAATAATAATAATAATACCACTACTACTACTACTACTACTACTACTACTACTACTACTACTACTACTACTACTACTACTACTACTACTACTACTATACTACTACTACTACTACTACTACTACTACTACTACTACTACTACTACTACTACTACTACTACTACTATATTATTATTATTAAAACTAGTTAAAGCCGTGTGGGTAATAGGGATCAGGCTGACATCTCTCTCATGTATGAAACCCATCCTGTGATGGCACATGACAGAGAAACAGCTAACTTTTGTTCCCACTATAAAACTATCCCCCTCAAGGAAGGTTCCTTGATGCTGGTGAGGGGCTCTTGGTCTAGGGAATTGGATCTGTTCTCCAGTTCCCTGAATTAAACCTGAATACCTTCCACATCCCCCCCTCAGGCGCTGTATAATCTTACGGGTTTAGAGCTTCCCCCTTGATTTATTTATGTATTTATTTATGTCTTTGCAAATAGTACATTGAGATTATGTATTTACAATAATGGGTTGCAATGCAAAGAGAGCCTCTATTATGCCTAGGCATTATGGCCCTACTTAACATTAATATAAAACTATCATAAAGATTAAGTTACCAGCACATTGCCGATGTACCTTGATTTAATAAAGCTTAAAACAGCTTACCATATAACGTTTACACGAACAGCCTGGTTGACCAGGCGTCAACGGAAAAGCTTGGCCTCAGGCCGGGCAGCGATGGTACAACCCTGGAAACCAGTCACAGGTGCATGGTAGGTGTGTATAACAATCCACTACCACCTCCTCACAAACTATTCCGCCTCCCTCTACTGCATCCACCTCATCATCTTCCTACCTCTCCTTCCACCAGTTTCCTGTCACCCTCTACCCATCTCAGCCCCGCCCATCACTCCTCCACCTATCCCCTCACATAACACCACCACCCATCCCATCCACACCCAACACCCCTCCCCTTCCTCCTCACGGCTCCTGGCTACCACCTGCCACGGGAGCACCACTTCCGGCGAGGAGACAACTCCCTCCCACACCTGTCCTAACATCAGAACAGTTCTGATGTGAACAGGGTTCTGTACGTGAACCCATGCTAGGTGGGTCCTGATCACACCTAACCATTCCCACTCACACATCTGTCTTATCCATTTTTAAAAATACCCAATATTTTCGCTTCAATGACGCAATTTGATAGTTTGATCAAATAATATTTGTATCTACCGTCAAACCAGTTCTATCATATCCTATATCCTTTCTAAATCTAAACAAATTCAACTTCCAATATAATAATGGCACACAATAATGTTGCGAGTCCTGTGCTGGTCAGATATTTTCAACACTACATTTCCGTTATTTATTAATATTTCCAAGCGTACATTTCAATCACAACTTCCCCAGTTCTATGCAACTTTCACTCTTAGTGTACTCTATCCGTCACTGTTTCCACCGCAATATGAACTCTATCCAAATCATCCCGAAGATGCTAGGTGTTTTCATAATTTATTTATCGATTTACTGTTCTGTCTTCAGCTATCTCATTGCAATTTATTTCCTCTATTATATCCTTTATGTAGAGTTTGAACGCGAGGTACAAGCACGACCCCTGAGGCACGCCACTTGTGACTGATTTTTCATTGTTATGCAAACTCTGTGGCCTACAAGATAGCCTTGATCGGGAAGAAAGCATCTACAGTAACATGTACTGCCACTCTCCTGTTTATAACTTTGCATTAAAAAACCTATGTGACCTTTATGGTCTGTCACTTCCCAATGAATATAATATCTGGATCAAAAAAACTCCTGCTCAACAAATTCTTACTGAATATCGTGGTCCACTGCCTCAAACATGTCACTGAAAAAGTCTGTAAATTTATGAGGAAACAACGAACCCTCGTAAAACTGTTTTGAGACTGACCAAATTGTATTCATCAAAGTGTCTTGGTAATGTACTCTCGTATTAACAGCCTGAATCCCTTCACTCTTCTCCCTTATAATCAGCCTAGGCCCTTTCCCTCCCTTCTTCCATTAACAGCCTGAACACTGGTCAGAGAAATGGAAACGTTGAGCTCCAACTGAATGCGCCGTATAGCCCTTGTGGCTTAGCGCTTCTTTATTATAATAATTTATTCTCCAAGGTGCAGTACTCGTCCCAGTTGTCTTCCTCATTATCATATCCGACAAACATAAAGCACAGCACTGTATCATCGGGAGAATACAACAAACTCAAACCCCTCAGTAAAGGGAAAGATTAATACGAGGGACTTAGGAGTGGTAATGTCAGAAGACTTCACTGTCACAACAGCAAGGACCTTCGAAACAAGATGCCAAGTAAATGATAATACTCTTCAAGTCGTTTATTCTCTCCAGAATATTGCTGTACACCAACAGCCCCTTATACGGGAGGCAAAACTGAAGATCTGAAAAACGTACACCCCTCACGGAAGGTTCCTTGATGTTGGTGAGGGGCTCTTGATTTAGGAAATTGGATCTGTGCTCCAGTTCCCCTCAAGGAAGGTTCCTTGATGTTGGTGAGGGGCTCTTGATTTAGGGAATTGGATCTGTGCTCCAGTTCCCCGAATTAAGCCTGAATGCCTTCCACATCCCCCCAGGCGCTGTATAATCCTCCGGGTTTAGCGCTTCCCCTTGATTATAATAATAATAATGAAAAACGTACAGAGAACTTTCATTGCCCGTATAAATTCAGTCAAGCACTTAATTACTGGAAATGCTTGAAGTCCTTCCAATTGCACTTCCTGGAACATAGTTGAGAAAAATATATCAAAATTTACATCTGCAAAATTTAGGAGGGAATGATCCCAAATCTGCACACTAAAATCAATTCCCACGAGAGCAAGAGACTTGGCAGACGGAGCAAAGTATCCCATATGAAAAGCAGGGGTACCAGGAGCACACTAAGAGAACACATGTGTAAAGGATCAAGACTTTCAACTTTCTCCTTTCATGTATAAGGGAGATTACCAACAGACCCCTGTCTTTAATAGGAACTTTTAATCGGTTCCAGAGCAACCGAGATGTGGTGCATACAGCAACAACAGCCTGCTTAATCGAGCCATCAACCAGGAGGCATGGTCTGGGACCGCGCTGCAAAAAAAGGTGCCCCCCTAAATAAAAATCGTCTTCAGGAAGATACAAGCAGGGTTTCCAGTGGGCAGTGGAGAACAACATGACGTTCAATGACGATAAGTTGCAGCTGCTTAGACATGGAAAGAATGAAGAACTCAAAGGGGACACTGTACAAAACTCAAGAGGACCATCAAATAAGAACATAGAACGAAAGAAACACGTGAAAGACTTGGGAGTAATTATGTCGGCTGACCTTTCTTTCACAGAACGCAATAAGGCAAATGTCACAACAGCCAGGAAGATGATGGGCTGGATAATGAGAACTTTCAAAACAAGGGAAAAAAGTGTCACTGGTGACACTTTTCAAATTGCTTGTGCTCTCTCATTTAGAACCAGCTCAACAACCTCCCCCCCTCAAGGAAGGTTCCTTGATGTTGGTGAGGGGCTCTTGATTTAGGGAATTGGATCTGTGCTCCAGTTCCCCGAATTAAGCCTGAATGCCCTCCACATCCTCCCCAGGCGCTGTATAATCCTCCGGGTTTAGCGCTTCCCCCTTGATTATAATAATAATAATCAACAACCTCCCCTTCCCCCCACCTCTCTTTGAATAATATCCTTCTGAATCTCACACCGTCTTCTAATTTTTATAATTCAAATTTTCTGTGTAATATTCGCAGACGTGACATTTCTTCTGCCTCCAGCTACTACGCTGTATTCCTCTTTTTTTTTTTTCTTGAACACTCCACTTCCCTTTCTCCCCTTCATCTATTCTGTGGTTCACCTTGTTTTTTCATAGACAACTCCTAATAAAGTAACAATATATACGATACTGGTGCTTGAAAGAAATATTTATTTCACAACTATTGTGAACTACTCCATCGTCAGGTACTCTATAAATAAGAAAAATAAACTATAAAAAACAAATACCTGAAAATTATCAAATCTTAATATACAGCAAAACATCATAAAATATATACGCAAAAGAAAATAAAGCTAAAACTAAAGCAACATTGTAAACCACATGTAAACCACACAATACCCAAAACCCGTAAACGCCACATTGTAACCCTTATAGAGAATAAACTTGAATTGAAAAGTTCAACGTGGCCAGCTCCATGGGCCCACGGATGTTGATAGAATGTTCTCTTGTGCTCACGGCGCCCCTGCCCTTCAATGAGTTTATCTTACACTTTCTCCTAAATTTCTCACTCTAGTACGTTGGGGTTCATGTTTATGGTGTGGTTTGTGGATACAATTGTGTGTGTGTGCGTGTTCGTGTATGGTGCAAAATAGTGGCTTAATGGACTGCTTGTCATGACAGCTAGCTCCCATATGCTCACAGATGAAGACATGCAGTTGACGTATAGCGGAGCAATTTTGATAATAGTACGCGTTTTATTTGGTTTAATTTTCCCCGTGTGGGTTCGTTTGTGCCAACAGTGACCAGTGCTTATTACACTGCTGTGATGAAATGGCTTATATTTTGTTTGTTAGCTACTAGAACAAATGCTGTTGGTTTAAAATCAAACGATAAATTTGAAATAGTTAAATGATGTAAATATTTACTGCATCTAATTCAATATACAATATTGCAATATAATAAAATATCAAGTAAATACTAAAGCTCTATTCAAGTACGAATTATATATTGAGAAATTAAAAACAGATTATCATTGATACACTTATTTTTGTTTAACGCATATTGTATGCCGGTGTATGGCATTTACCTTTGGAAAACGAGGATAAATTTAGCTGGTGTATTTTTAAATCTTTTTATATAGCTTACAATAATACTTTAAACGTATTATTGGTATCCTGAGCTATTCAAGCAATTATATGGCTGACACGTATTATTATTATACGAGTATATTTGAGTTTGATATTATCACTATTACTATTATTTTTAAAAACTAGTACTGAACCCGTATGAGTCATACAGTTATTGGTTCATATGTAATATATTCGTGCCGAATAGGTAAAAATTGGTCAATTAGCAAGAACTCATTTAATATTAAGTCCTTTCTAAAATTTTCTCTTATTACCTGGAGTTACCTGGAGTTTACCTGGAGAGAGTTCCGGGGGTCAACGCCCCCGCGGCCCGGTCTGTGACCAGGCCTCCTGGTGGATCAGAGCCTGATCAACCAGGCTGTTGCTGCTGGCTGCACGCAAACCAACGTACGAGCCACAGCCCGGCTGATCAGGAACTGACTTTAGGTGCTTGTCCAGTGCCAGCTTGAAGACTGCCAGGGGTCTGTTGGTAATCCCCCTTATGTGTGCTGGGAGGCAGCTGAACAGTCTTGGGCCCCCTGACACTTATTGTATGGTCTCTTAACGTGCTAGTGACACCCCTGCTTTTCATTGGGGGGATGGTGCATCGTCTGCCAAGTCTTTTGCTTTCGTAGTGAGTGATTTTCGTGTGCAAGTTCGGTACTAGTCCCTCTAGGATTTTCCAGGTGTATATAATCATGTATCTCTCCCTCCTGCGTTCCAGGGAATACAGGTTTAGGAACCTCAAGCGCTCCCAGTAATTGAGGTGTTTTATCTCCGTTATGCGCGCCGTGAAAGTTCTCTGTACATTTTCTAGGTCGGCAATTTCACCTGCCTTGAAAGGTGCTGTTAGTGTGCAGCAATATTCCAGCCTAGATAGAACAAGTGACCTGAAGAGTGTCATCATGGGCTTGGCCTCCCTAGTTTTGAAGGTTCTCATTATCCATCCTGTCATTTTTCTAGCAGATGCGATTGATACAATGTTATGGTCCTT